TACTTGTTGATTAATTGACTCTAATAAATAATTAAGTATTATAATTAATGCAAATTTAATGTGCGACTCTCATTTAATATTTACTAATGGGATAGCAAGGCGTATGCGTAACGTACACTTGTCAAAAATTATGCACTACAACTAAAACAAACAAGTGAACTAGAACAAATTTCTGTTTCCTAGAAATCATTTGGCAGTCTATGAAATGAATACAACAATGGGAAAGTGCCACTGCCTTAAGTAAATAAATACAATAAATATCTAATAGATAATTTAGTTTTTATAAAGTTTACTTACATATTTCTAACAATTTAAATGAATTATTTAAATTAAATTTTATAAAACTTTCCAGCAAATTAAATGCAAATATGGAAATAAAATATTAATGTCATATGACAAGCTTAGTGTGGTAAGGAAATAATTTGTTAGATTGCATTTCTTAATCTGCTGCTGCTATAATTTAGTAATTGAATTAAAACACAATATCTTAGAATAACAAGTAGAATAAGTTGTAGACCGCAACTATAAGTGAGAGCTATATGATATATGGATCTGTTGCTGATAATTTATTCCAAAATGTTAAGAGCATATTTGAAGAGTTTGGTTTATTAGGCGGAAAAGTTGCTCGTACAAGAATACATCTTTCGACCGATTTTCCCTATGGATATTTCTTAATAATCGAAAATATTAAAAAAGGAAAACTTTAATGGAAGTTTTGTCAAACTAAGTTACAAGAATTTATAAACTAGCTGAAATGTGTGATATCTTAAAATACTAATTTTTACTAAATAATAATAAGTAGCAATAAGTCTAATGTCAGCCAGTTTTTTGCGAGTGTATTGATGGTGATCAAGAATACACATACTTCATGGTAAAATTAAAATACATACGTGTTTTTTTTTTAATGTCATTTTAAAATAATAGCGGTCATCTATAAAATAAGCATAAATCACTTGTATTCTTTGCAGTACCCTCTTGAAGGGTATTAAAATACAGTTAGCTCCCGATATCGATTCAATTAAATTAGTTAACCTCTGCAATGCAAAACATTCACATTCCTTAAGTATTTAATTTTGATGAGTCTTTGAAGTTGACTGCAGGAATTCTTAACGGCTGCCTGGCTTATCGGCTCAAAGCGTGGCAGTTACTGCTGCCACAATCCAATTAACCTTTAGACATTTGCAACGGCTACTTTTGGCTAATGACTGCGCGTAAATCACACACACACACACACACACAGTCACAGATACAGTCATAAAATTATCTGTAAGATACAACCACTGAGCTTGTCATTTGGTCACTTGTAATGCACACTTGTTTGTTGTGTCTCGTTGCGGATGTGTCTCTCTAATGCGGATGCGGCTGTTATTAAAACACTCAACACAACTTAACTCAACTCAACTCACACAACCAACAACTGGTCGCATCTTGTTAAGCTTTTTTTTTCTGGGCGCCAGCAACGAAGTTTAATAAACTCATCATCAAAAAAAACATAAAAAAAAATGACTGTAACTGCAACTGCCACTGCTACAGCAGGCACAAGGTGCAACATGTGTCAGAGTTGTTAACATCGAATGTTCACTTAGTAGACTTCTTGCTTACATCTTGCTGACCATGTGCCTTTTACACCTGTCTGTCTTGCAAAACGGAACTGGTCCGAGAAAGCTATAAAATACTCACACCTATGAAATATTCACAGCATAAATATAACTTCAGTCTTAACACAGAATAACTGATACACATTGAAATCAAAGTTGTTTGAGAAACCAAAGAGTTGCTATAAAATTTTCAAATTGTTTTTGGGAAATAAATTAATATCGACAGACGGTATACAATTTGGTAATTTAGTAGTAAGAAATGTTTTACAATCAGAAAAAACCTTTACTATAAAAAATAGACAATATAATAATTTAAAAATACTCTATCAAATTCCACCTTTTGGACACAGAAAAGTGGATAACTCGGACCAAACAACTCTGATTAATTAAAAAAAAAAACAAAGCTGGAGGCATATATATATATATATATATAAATATTTATATATATATATTTTAAGAAAGGGTAAATAAAATTGATGTAGATTCCAAATTGTATGAAGTCAACTCATAAAGAGTTCTCAAAACGCATAAGTAATAACATAAAAAATCTTCTTAGTGAATAAAAAAATAAATAAATAAAAAAAAACAATCGCTGCTGCTACTTACAGCCAAAAACAGTGAATAAAAGACCTGTCTAAAATACACCCACCAGCTGAAATGAGTTTTCAATTAGGATTGTGTGCAAGAAGCACTCAGCCAAATTGGTTGCCCAATAAATTTAATTTCTACACGCTTCTAATCGTCGGAGCTAACTGTTAACAAGCTGGCAACAATGGACGTGGAGGTATTGGTAGTTGGATGGGGAGTGGGAGTGGGAGTGGGAGTGCATCTTACAAGCCAATAAGGGGAGGCGGATTTGACAACATGCCTCCGCGTTGCAAACACGTGCGCCGAGAGCAGCAGCAGCAGCAGCAGCAGCAACAGTTGTAGAAGCAGCAACAGTTTGTGGCGTGGGCGCTGCGTCGCCATAAATCTTCAGCACATGATTAATGTGGACGCGCTTGGCTAGAAAAAAGCTGAAGAAGCAACAGCTAAAGAAGAAGAAGCCAAAGAAGATGTTGCTGTTGTTGTAGTGGTGGCAAGGCTTTAATTGGAGCAGCAAATTGTTGCAAAGAATTTGCCGCCAGTTAAATGCAACCAAAATTGTTTTGCACACCAAAATTTAAATAAAAAGCACATTAACTGCTAACCGAATGCTAGATGGTCAGGCAGATGGTCAGCTCGGAAAGCTATGTAGAAACTCTGGAGAATTAATGGCACGCTGTGCTCACGAGCAATAGCATCATGTATATGTTTAACTGACGGATTGCTGGATTGCCACATGAATTAACAATTGCTTTTACCAGCGGATGTATGCATCAAAGAATTTTCACCAGCTCAACTCAACAAATGAAAGAAAGGGCATCGAAAATCATCATCAAATCATCATTTAAATACCTCAAATATTTAACATTACTGCGAAAAGAAAACAACTTATTTAAATTAGAGTATCCGCTAGCTAATCTGCTGACAGTTTGACATATTATTATATTATATTTGTACGTTTTAATGTCTGTTTGACGCTTTTGACTCGCTGATTTTTTATCTTTGGCATTTTATGAATAATCTTCAGTTAATCTGTGTATAAATCGATTTATTATCGCACAAGAATATATTTAAGAAGAATTAAGAATTATCGGATAACCATGTTAAAATATTCTCTACAACGGTATACAAATAATGTTCTCAATTTTAAATGCTGTAGTCATTTAAGAGAAGCAACCTTTTGAAAATCTATTTAGTGTTTAGTGGTGTGCAAAGTTTTAACATGAATAGCTGTATTAATCTAATGGTTACTAAAAAGCCAATCTCGTTTCGAAAATTATTTTAAATTATGAAGATGTTGAGACATTGAAAAGTTTTGACCCATTCTCAATTCGTCGCATAATTCCTTGGTTTTTATTTTATTTTCAGGAATGATACACTGCCTTGGCTAACTCTCCTGCTTCTTCTAGATACTCCACTGGATTCGCCAAATTCATTTATTAAATTTCATTGCTCCTAAATTCTTGTCACATTAAAATATCGACATCAAAACGTATTTTCAATCTTGATGATAGCACATAAACATAAATCGTAGCAGTTTTGACAAACTTACAGTTATAATCAATTTTAATTATATCAGCTGTTGCATAGAGCGATGTGCCTCGTTAATTACAACTAAATGCATATCTTGTTGCCCCATTTCTATAATAGACCTATTACTGGCATCCATCAGCTGCCTTAAGCCCAGCAACCCAAATCCAATCAACACTCTTAATGTCCGCCAAACACGCACAGCATTTTAAAAGCCTTCGCCGTGCAGATGACTTCATTTGGGAACCAGCTGACAGACAGCCTGGGAGTCGGAGTCGGAGTCGCACTCGGAGTCTGAATCGTCGCTTCATTCATGACCCGTGTGTGTATGTTTGGGTGTGTGTGTGTTTGCTTTGATTGATGACTGCGCCCACCAACAAAAAAAAAAAAAAAAACACGATGAAAAACAAAAGCAATAAAAACAAAATAATATATTTAACGGCAGCTTTACACATTCGACATTGATCTGGGATAGAAGACGCTTCGATATGCATTTGCTTTGAAGTTCAGCTGCTTCAAGTGACAGCAAAAATCTGAAGTTGTTGTTGTTGTTGGAATTGGAATTGGAATCCACCCATCTGCCCACCTAGCTGGTTACCTGCTTAGTTCTGAGTGCCTGCCTGCCTGCCTGCTTGAGTGCCAGCCTGCCTCTCTCCCAGCTCGCAAGTCGATTAAAATTCCGCCATAAAAGTTGAATGTTAATCGCTCATTGTTGTTTGAGGAGAAGCACAAATTAAATTGTTTGCTTTTTGGCAAATTTGACATATAATAGTGCTTGTTTGTCAACATTGTTGTTTTTGTAGTTGTTGTTATTGTTGCTTTCAAGCTGCCGCCATAAATATCGTAGTGCATTTTGCGTGTTTGCAGTTTCTTTTTTTTTTTGGTTTTTTTTTTTCCTTTTTGCTGCACTTTTAATTGCATTATTTTTTTTGTTTGGGCCTGCTGCTGATGGCAATCAACGCTGACAAGTTAATTAAAATATCGCACAAGCTTTTAACCAAAGATAAAGACATGTATATATATATATATATAAATGTGTGTGTGTGTGCGTGTGTATTATGCGGAAATTCTGAGTAGCATGACACAGTTATTTTGGGGCTTAGACGACAGGAATTCGAGATTGATTTCAAAAGTACATTTTTGAGGCATTAACATGTTATCCGCTCTTAGCCGGCATTAGCTGGCTTTGTTGGAGATATTGCCCAACTCATATCACAAATCCAAATATTTATGCAAATATGTTGGTAAATGTTGAAATTGATTTAAACTATTGCTTGATGCACAATATTATGTTATCTTATCCGGCTTTAGACCGATTTATTCAAGTTTTTTGTATAACTTATACAAAATGCAAAAATTTCACAACTTTATACAAGGGATTCAATCAAGTGTGTGTGTGTGTGTGTGTTATTTGTAATAGATGTATAAGACCATAACAGCTTATTAGAAAAAAACGTTGCACCAGTGTTTTGAGGAATGTTAGAAAAAATCCAATTGATAATTTTGATCGTTTTAGAGAGCGTATTCGCCGTTGCCATACTGTTTGATTTTCAGTAGATCGCAGGAGAACTGGAATAGCTGCTCGCACTTGGCCGGCTTCTTGGCATCGGGGTGGAAGGGACCTCTGCCGCCATTGCTCAGATATGTGCCACCCTGTCCCTCGATCGATGGATCGATGGCTGCAAAGACCACCGTGCGCGAGCCACGCTCTGGCGTCTTAAAGAAAAACTTCTTGAATATTGGAATCGATGTGGTTGCCGAGTGCTCGAACAGATCCGTGTCCACAATGCCGGGATGCACCACATTAACCTGCACATGAGCCTTCTCCGCATCGAGGAGTGATTGTAAATGACGAGTGCCCAGGATCTGTGCCAGTTTTGATTGACTGTATGCCGTGCCGGGATAATAGTTCTTACTAAAAAGACGAAAAAGCAAATAGCATGAGCAACCAGCTTCGATTGTGTATATTCAACACTCACAGTCCATTGATGTCCTTGTAATTGATGCGACCAATGAGATTCACACAGGAGCTCACATTCACGATACGAGCATTTTTCCCTGGCTTTCCAGCCGCCCGCAGCTGGGGCAGCAGCAGATGGGTGAGCAAAAAGTGGCCCAAATAGTTGATGGCAAAATGGGATTCGAATCCATCCGCTGTCTGTTTGAATGGAGCAAACATAATGCCTGCATTGTTGAGCAGCAAATCGATCTTTGCGTATTTCTCCGTTATGCTCTGCGCAAAGGCTCGCACCGACTTCATATCCCCTACATCGAGCTGCTTGCATATCAGTTTGCCCTTCGTCTGGCTCAGATCGACAATTTTGCCAACGGCGGTTTCGGCACTGCTCGGATCTCGAACGCCTTCAAAAATTGAAAGGAACACGTTAGTTTTTTGTTAAATTTCGGAGTCGGAGACTGGCAAATACCTTACTCAATGAAGTAAAATAAATTTATAATATATAGATAAATATATATATATATATATACATATACTAAATATATAAAATCATCTTCGAATGCGTATAGAAACTCATCAAATTGAGATATATTAGATTTTCAACTAAAGTCAAAATCATTTCATATTTGAAATTATTATATTAATTCTATTCTTAAAATGTATGAATTAAACATACACAGTATTTGGTTAAGCTATAAAAACAATTCGAGTTTTATATATATAAAGATACATTCTTAAAGTATAGAAGATAAGCATTCGATTCTGCAATTCAGATTCAGATTCTTTCAGAGTCAAGCTTTATGGGCATAAAATTATATTGGAATTTTATTCTACTTTTTATGGGCACAGGGTATTTAAATGTCTATTGTTATTTCCAGAAACTGGGCTGCTAATTCAGTTAACAGTCAATTTTTATTACCCATAAATGCACCCAAAGTGTTCCTCTTTTTGGCTCTTATTATTCCAAGCCTAAAGGTATGCAATGAATTTTGCCTCACTGGCAACAATGTTGATGCGCAACATGCTGCGCAACATGCTGCGCAACATGCTGCGCAACATGCTGGCAACATGCTGCATGTGCGCGCGGTTTTTAAATGTGAGTGTGATGAGTATTGTAATAAAAAATCAAATAATAAAAAACTACTTATAAATTTAACACATTCTCAATGTGAAAAATGGGTATAATGAAATTGCGAAAACAAAAAGAAGAAATTATCTGCAACCTCATAAAGTTAATACAGGTTTTGATTAGGGTAAACAGTCGATTACAGGTCGAAGCCATTTATATATTTCACAAACTGCTGAACCTAAAGTCTTACATTTTGTAACATAAGTTCTGGCATATGAAGTCTACATTTTATTTGATCGATGACTCACTCCGTTTCGCGATTATCGATATAAATCGCAATAATAACTTGACATATTATTGATTAACTATACAAATGTCAGCAACATCGTAGGATAAGAAACACACAAGATATGCTATGTTTTGGGTCATAACTTTTTTATGATTTATTTATTTATATATATATATATAATAAATAAATCATAAATCTCAATCTGCCTTTGGCTCCCTTAAAACTGGGTACAAATATGTATAAAAAATATAGTTTAAAGAAGTCCACTTAATAGTAGAAAAATAAGAAAAAAATAAATAAAAGTAATAACAATAAATTTGAATTTTTTCGTGTGTCCAAACTCATTGTTGATATGCATTTTAAATTCAGTCTTGTGATGAAAGAGATGTGCCCATTGCATAACTAACTATCCGCTTACATTTGAAAGGGCATAATTAGAATTTGGGTTTTAATCGATTCAGTATATTTAGGAGTAGGGGGAGTAGTGCTTTTGGGCCTTTGGACTCAGTTCAGTTGAGTTTGCTTTGAGCTAATTGCGCAGGCAATGCACGCCGCTAGTTTCTCGCGTACAATCGAGAAAAGTGTTGCTGTTCGAATAACAAATGGAAATCGCTTATTTATACTTTTTTGTAGATAGCAAACACTAATTGTTAAACTCTACACTTAGCACTTGTCACTCGACACTCGTCACTCGACACTGCACACTCTACACACGATACTCACCCATAATTACGGTCATGTCGCAAGCCAATAATTTCTCCACAATGCGCAGCCCTATTCCACGATTACCGCCCGTAATTACAGCAATGCGATCCGGTTGCTTGTAAAGAGCTTCAAAATGCAAAATAAAAAAAAAAAAGCAGCAACAAAGAAAATTAAGATAATCGAAATGATATAACGAGTTATTGAACTATATATTTAAAATTATATTATATATTTAAATGAGCTGAGCTTTATCGACATACCAACGCGGTCCCTTGACGCATACTTCGCATCGTGCACAAGTCCGATGATGCCCAAATACTGATAACGGAACTCCGTCTTCCATTCGAACCAGGATTTGGGCATTTCTTTGGTCGTCTTGCTGAATATGAAGCCGCATAGCATAAGCCCAAAGAGAAGCAGCCCCAGGAACAAAATCATTGTTAATGGATGTGTATATGTGGCTATGGGGTGGGTGTATGTTGTCTCTGTTGATACTGTGGAGAGATAAGGAAACAGTCATTCAACACGTTGGGTGCAAAGATCAAATTTTGATTAGCTAGCGTTCCACTAGCTAAATCGACTTGGCTAGACAAATACTTGAGTAATAAAAATAGGTAATGACATTAAAAATAAACATTAGGGAAACTCATTAAATTGTGAAATAATCAATTAAATTTTATAATTTAATTATATTATTTATTTACAATACCAATTTCGATTTTAAATATATATCTTTGTTTTTAGAAGAACTTTACTTTATTTTAAGTCGATTTAAATTCTATTTAAAACACTTTTAAGGCTTTGGCTTCAGCTTACACAAAATTCGAGTTAATTCGAGTACAGAACTTAATCTTTTCACAAGTATTTACTTGCTATTGTCTGATGCGATTCAGAGACTCAGCTGGCCATCAAAAGTTTGGCCTTAGTCAGCAACTCCCACAAATCAACTGTTAATTCGGCGGTGCACTTTGTGACTGCCTTTGTGGGACAGCTGCAGTTTACCATAATATAATCAAGGTGACGGCACTGAGAACTATGGCCCAGTTTAACAAAAACACTGAGTGGTTTTCTAAAAAGCAAACAAAGACGCTGGCGACACATAAAATGCAAATTAACCGAAACAGAAAAAAGAGCCAAGCATTGGGAATGAAAGTTCGAAGAGAAGTCAAAGAATGGGCCAAAAGCTAAACTCACACACACACACACACACACATAGAGAGTAGGCAAACATGTGTGTAGGAAAAGTAACTAATGGTAGCCAGCAGTCAAGTGCGAAGAGGGCTACCAAAATAACCCACCAAATAAATTCACATATGCTTGCCTGTGTGTGTGGTGTGTGTGTGTTTGATATTTCTGACTCTCGTAAAATGTTTTTTTTTTTTGGCCGTTGTCAACGTTTGCGGCGTCTTCCACTTCCGTCAACAAAAAAAAAAACTTTAAAAACTAACTGCCTTGCATTTTATAAACTTTCTATTTCTATTGTTGTTGCACATACGTGTAAATATATTCAATCATTTAACGTATTTACTTACTGCACAAAAAACACTTCAATCAAGGCTGATGCGTTTTCGATGTGCACTTTGGCGTGGCAAAGCGTTTTCTGTGTCTACGCTAATATTTAACAACCTTTTGTCAGTTCAAATAAAGGTAAATAGTTTTCAAATTCTGTGGCTGATTCGACTTTTACAGACGGCAGCACGTCACGTTTACACTTTGTCAAACCGGTTCCGCACACACATTCAGAAAACACAACCGCACGGCAACAAATTCAAAAGACAACTGAAGCGTTTAAGTTTCGCGCGCTCGTTTTTTTGCAGCTTAGAACCTGATTTTAATATACAATTAAGTTTTTTTGGTTGTTCAACAGGTGTCGAAACGCCGGCAAATGATTTACGACTATATAAACAACTCACCTTTTTACAAAAGCTCACAATTATGTTGTATTGTCAATGTTGGTGTATTTGCAAGTTAACAATATTATTGTGACATGGGAAAATATATAAATAAACAGTTGTTGAGTTGTTAATTTGAGCAAATATCTAATTTGCAATTAGAAACGTCGGCAAACAGCTGATTCGGTAGCCGGCTTTAAGTGTGACCGCGCGCCGCAAGACCAAAAATGCCAGCTACACAAATTGGAAAAAAAAAAACTATCGACAGCCCATTTTAAATGAAATACTAAATTAAATCAATTTTGCGTTGAATTTGAAATTCAACAATTTTTGTTCGTTACTCCATTTTTAAATAAAACTCCTTTTTAAGCTAGCTGATTTTGCATTTATTAAGTAAACAAAAGAAATTGTACGGTGCATATAATAAAATAATTATATCAACTAATGTTGTTCTTGCATAGTTTAAATTGATTATTATAAGTTGAAGAAATCGAAATGAGAGCCAAGCACAAATGAAGATCTAAATATATATTGCTCGTACAAACTCTTTGAATTAAGTTACGAAATTATACGAGGGATTTATAAGTGTATTTTGTGTATAAGTGTATTTGTTTTGTTGTGTTTATATAATGTTTGTATATAGAATTTGTTGTTTAATATGAGTAGGTTATATTACTAAATTGAAATATATTTGTTGTGAGTGCATGTATCTAGTTGCTATACAAATTAATAATTCATTTTTGTTTTGGAAAGGGAAAAGTGTGTGTTGTAAATTTGTTTAAAGTTATTTTGTTATTCATTTTTAACTTTCAAATGTCTAAGGTGCAGCTGCTTCGTTAGATTGCTCCTTGCTGTTGTCCTTGTTGGTGGTTGGCGGCGTTGCTGCAGCGGCATTCTTAGGCTGCTTTAACTGTCAATTCTCCATGGACATGACGTTGATGTCATCATTGATGGCCAACACCTGACCGATGAAATTCTGATCGGAGACAACTTCACACAGCGATTTGCACAGCTCCGTCAGCTCCAGCTGCGACATGTTCATCTGTGGCGCCAACTTCACCAGATGCTGCAACACATAGTCCGGCAATTGCTGCAAAACGAAGACCGATGGAATTAAAACTTATGGCCTCAACTCAATTCGAGTTCGATTTGATGGCTTACCTTGCCCTTTGCCACCTTGAAGACGCTAAACATTAGCTTGGCCTTCACACGCTGCTCGTTGGGCCCGTCATAGAAGAGCGTCAGATGCGCCTCCTGCACATTGGACACCAGCGGGAAATAGAGGCCGGCGTAGACGCGTCCCTTGGCATCGCGCGACAGCAACGATCGGAAATTGTACACCAGATTACGGCGCACAGTCACATCGACAGCCGTCATATATTCCTGCACAATATAAATTAAGGATGTCTTGAAGCTGGCCTCATCTCCACGTATTTCGCGCTCCTTCCACTCGACGAACTTGTCGCTCTGCTGGCTAAAACTGTAGCAGTAGTCACGCTGCAAATGTGGCTCCATCGATTGATTGAACCAGCCTGGCGAGAGAGAGAAAGATTAGCTTCTATATGCATATATATATATATATGTATATGATATTTACCTGTGTGTGGATAGCTCTGATCGTTCATGACGGTGACGGCACGTCCGACATGATAGCCGGGATCAAGTATCATGACACCGCGCCGTTCACCGATGGCGAAACGCATGGCGACCATCACGTGCTCCTTTTCGACGCCCGCATCGGCGGTTTTCATGCCATACTCCTCATCCATGAGCACATAGTCGTTGCAATCGCCCACCTGCTCCTCGCAGGACACCACATACAAATAGTTGCCCAGCTGTGGAAACATTTGCACCAAGCGCGCTATGATCTCAAAGGCGAGGGAGACGCACATGTGATGGCGTCGATTGATGGGCACATCGTAGAACTGGAAGAAGCTGCGCAGATCGGAGCGACGGGTGCGCTTGAAGCTGCGATAGAAATCCACGAACAGATTCACCGTATTATAGTGCGTCTCCTCGAGCATCCGCTGTAGTGCTGTCTCCACAATGCCGTTTAGCTCCTCATATTGCCACACATTCTCAAAGATGAGCACATCCTTGGCCGGCTCCACGGCGCTGTCCCAGTCGGGCAACGGCAGCGGATGACCCAACGGCCAGACGCCATTGATCTGATTGTAGGCGCTCAGATCGTAGCCATCGGCCATGGCCCAATTGCTGCTGCCAAGATCGAGGGAGGTGCGGCTGGTCTTCTGCCTGCTGAGCAGCTGGATGATGTCGGAGTAACGATCCGATGCGTTTGCCACCGATGTCAGATCGGCGATTGGCAACCACGAGTGCTGTTGCTCCTCTTGCTGCTGGTGCTGCTCCTCCTCTTCGTCCTCAGCATCTTCTTCGTCGTCGTCATCCTCACTGGATGTTGAGGGCGTGCGCCTGGACGTTGAGGGGACGCGTTGAGTGCAACTGTTGACTGGCTTCTCAGCATGCTCATGAGTTGTGTTCTTCGACTTGCTGGTTGTCGTTGTCGTCGTCGTAGTCAATCCCAATCCACGCATCGCATCCGCCAGCTGCTGCTGCTGGCCGGCGGCATCTCCTCCAGCAGCAATGCCGACGTCATCATCATCGTTGACGTCGTCGGCTGGCATTGCTGCCACATCGTGGCCGTGACCGGCACCGGCACCGTTGCCAGCGGCGAGTCAGCTTGGCCATTCGGCACCCCATCGGCCCACGGTGGGCACATAGCCACTTTCACAGTCATTGATTGTGGTGGCTTCTAGTTGAATGTTGGACTTGTTGCTTCGACTCAATGTTGCTTCCTGTGTGGTGGCTGCGGCCTCAATGGCTATCGCTGAGCAGGCACCAAGATTCTGCAGACTATTCCGGCTCTGCGCTCCGTTGAACACGAGATCCGGCTCGTCTCCAAATTTCGTCGTTAGTTTAGACTGATCTGTTAATAAACAGCAAGTACAAAATCAAAATTATTAAATAACCAAATTAATACGTGAGATTGTTGTATTTTTGCATTTTTGATACTCCAAATAAGAACGTAATAACTAACTCCAAGCGAGAACTTGTTCTGCGCATTAATGTTTATTTGTGTTAACTCAAAAATATTTAAATCAATCAACGTTCATTGAAATACAAATATATTGTGAAGACAAAAACAATCTTGACATTGACAATTTTTGTACTTGAAATTTAGTATAGAATTCTTAACTTTTGAGCTGAGTTTTGCGAATATTGCCTATCTATTTTCTGCTTTAGTTGCTAATATAAATATTATAGCTAGTATCAACATTTCTTGAATTTTTTAATGTTTACAGTACGTAAAGAGTACGTATAAGGCACAACATTCTGTACATTCTGTACATTCAACATTCGCAGGGTATGTTGCGAATTTTAGAAATTCGCCTCGAGTATTTTGCGTTGATTTATCGAATTTCCCATCGTAAAGTAAAGCAATGTCAAATACAAAATACAATCATAATTCAATGAGCGTAATTGATTTCTTATATTTTAATAAAATTGAGTTGTGATATCAAATTAGAAATGAAATGCTTTTTAATTTTGAAATTTATTTCTTTTTTGTGGAATTAATGAAAGAAAAATGTTAATCGCCAGTTTTATATTTTAACTATCTGCTTCATTATTAATTTTGCAAACTAAATTAATCCGATCAGCTGTTCTAAAGCAAGCAATTTTGCCGTTGACGACACTGAAGAATCACACTGGAATCGCGAAATGTTGATAATGTAAATGTAAGAAATGTTGGACATAGTAGAATTCTGTTATTAGTCTTATATTTTCTACTTTTTGCTCAGTAATTGTCTTCTTTATATTATGATTTAATCGATAATACCAAATACATTTTGTAAATATTTTTCCAATTCTCATTTTTTGTGATTTTAAATAGTATAGAGAAGGATTTCTATAAATTTCGAATTTTTAGTTAACATTTGCCTTAGAATTGATTACTTTTCTATTAGTATTTAGTTTTTCCAGTTCTAGCCCGAATCAACTCATGACATTCTTGGCCAGACAGTCAGCTGAAATTACAGTACCTAAGGTATACTTAAAGGTCATTAGCTGTAATTGCCCTTTGCCCTTAATCCTTAATAATGATTTTTGGCAACGGATTGTTTATATATTGTTTGTACCCTTTAATCAAAATATCTACTCCAAGTGTAATAAGAAATTGTTGTGACTGGTAGACAAACAAAAAAAAAACACTTATCAAGCTTAGCAGGAAAATACGTCAGTAAAGTATAGTCTGTTAAATATTATGATACTTATATATATATATACGAATTTAAGGCCCAAGCTGATTAGGAGTCTTGTTCATAACATACGCCACTTGAAGAATGTTGCGTAGAAGCTACACTTGAATGGGTGACAGATAAGGGGTAATAATAAATGAAATATAAAGAACAATTGTGTGTGGGTGGAAAGGGGATTAGAAGTCACGTGTTTAGCTCATGCCCCATAGAAACTCGCTCAGCCCATTTTTCTGTCCGCGATGTTTTTGAGGCGAATTCAACGGCATATTAATCATTCGAAGGCTTCTCAGGGCTTGGGGTTGAGTATTTGTTGTGCTTTTGATTAGAAACAACTTGCGTCAGCCTTGTTCGCCGTACTTTTTTATGACAGTTACACATTTTATTACAGTAGTGAATCATTGTTTTCCGACTAATTAACTGGTTGCTTATGCGTCTGCATAATATTTGTATATATATATATTAACTGGTTGCTTATGCGACTGCATAACAAATGCGACAAATATTATGCAGACGCATAAGCAACCAGTTATATATATATATATATATATATATATATATGCATTTTTGTGTGATTTTAAGAACTGTGCTAAGGTTCTGCGCCTCTAAAATAATTGTCTAAAAATAAGTGAAAATATTGGGTTCAGCTGTGTGCAGCTAAAATTAAAATTATTCAGCTCAACCTGTTGCTAGGCAAATTATTATTAAGTGCTAATCAGTGATTCATAATTAAACTTTTTTCCAGTATATATGAGGAAAAAAAGAATTCACAATCATTTATTTCATCGAATATTTCTTAAAATGTATATATCAGAAAAATGTCTTCACAATAATTTATTTCATTAAATTTATTCACAAAAATTGTAGTTTAATATTTAAATAAAAATATATTTAAAATAAATATATCGCTTTATTTTCAATTCTTATCCTATCTAAAGAACGCCTTAAAGATAAATGAAAATAAAAGTGAGATTTTACAAAGAATTTTTACACTTTCTGCCCCACTGTATGTACTACACTACAAGGTTTTTTTTTATAACCCTAATACAAGTATTAAATTATTGTAATCAACTTACCCATACAATGGCCTAAGCCCAATTAATAATGTTGCTTCTGTGGTGTGGTGTTTTTTTTTAGCTTTGTTTGATTTTCTTGTGAATATTCCAAACACGCGATTTGCTGCTTTGCGTTTCGTTGAAATTCACGAATAACAAAAATTGAGGGTTTACTTCGATTTACAGTTTGGGGCCAGCAATTGCTCTCAAACTGTTTTGCACTTTGTGTTTTTGTTTTGTATGAAAACCCAAAGAAATTAAAAAAATAACGTAACGTGAACTAAAAAGTAAACAACTTGATTGCTTGCCTGCCGCTCTTGAATGTTTTTCTTTGTTGTTGTATTTGTAAATGTTTTTTTTTTGCTATTTACGCTAGCAATTAATAAGATTTTCTTTGTTTCAATGGTTTTCTTTTGTTTTTTTTTTCTTTATTTGTAGACGCTTTTCCTGTTCAATGCAGGTCACAGTTTTTTAACAATATTGGCGAATTTATCGACATCGAAGTGGATTTTGTTTAACACTTCGTCAGCTTGATGATTTTCAATTACTACATATGGTAATACATATGTAAATAACTGTAAAAAAGATTACACTTGCACTTTGATACGCTTCCTCTTCTTTTCACACTGTTCCGCAATGCTGATCCGTTTCCAACAAGAGGCGAGATACTACTGAAAATTGAGCTCTTCTCTAGCAACGATTGTTTCGATTTCGATGTCGAATGCTGAATGCACACAGCTCGTTGATACGAGCTCGCTTATATACTCTAATAGCCGAGGGAGAGCAACGGGATCGCAATTGTATTGTCTTTGATATCGGCACAGTTTTTGTTGCTTTTGCTCTTTTACTTTTGTGTGTTGTTTTCGCTTTGCCTATTCGCCTCGCATACGCTGTGCGCACAAATATTTCAATTTATGACGCAAAAAAAAAAGCTTGAAAAATATTCCACGTAGGGCTTCACTTACAGAACGAGGGGGAAGCGAACGCGATGATTGCTGTTAACGCGACGTTTGTTTTGCTACGCACAATCGTTTCGATATTATTTTTGCCAGTTCCTTTTCGTTGTTGTTATTTTTGTTGATAACTGGAAATAGGATTTCAGGCAGTAGTTCCGTTATACTGTAAAGAAGGGAATGAAAAGGGATTCAGTCAAAAGATAAAAGTAAGTTAATGATTTATAAAATGGGGGAATTTGAAAACAAAAAAAAACTGAAAGGAATTAAGCATTTTATGCCGAAATCTGTCATATAAAATGACATGAATATTTGTATCACTTATTCAAATATTTGTCTACCGCTAAAGCGGTATATATTTTGCTTTCGCAAAATAATTTGCTGCACATGGTTTATGATAGTTTAGTTTACTTTTGCGATAAGTGAGTGGAAAATTAGTTATATACATTGTTGTTTTGGGCGATTATCTAATCAAAGGCTGACAAACAATGCCTTATGATCTTGTTTAGCTGTTTGTATAATTCCCAGACCCCCTCGTCTTGCCTCGTTTTTATTTCCTCTTTGCTTTTGGCGCTCTTTGTTTAGTTCATCTCTGCAATATATGTTTTTATTATATGGGTGACTTTTTGCGTCGTAGCAAATTGCATTTTGAGATACGTAGGCAAACATTTTGTGTGCAATTAAAAATGAAACAAGCGGCATAAACATAAATGAATGTCCACAGCACACCGTTAAACAACAATTGTGGCAGCAACAACAATTGCTGTAATATATATATATATATATAAATACATACATAAATCATGTATGCATTTTCAAGGTCAGGCATTTAGTATCTTTATACTGTTTGTATTTTTAAGTTATTTATACGGCGAGTGAAATCAAAATCAACATTTGAGGGCATATTTAGCATAGGCCAGACAAATATTGCATAAGCTAATAAATTCATTCAATTAATTAACTAATTAATGCGACGTTGAAATCTCAAGTTTCAGCCAAGATTTACATACAGTGTCTCGCAGTTCAACTGGAACACCGCCTAGCAAAAAAAGTTAATTGCCTGCCATAAACGAATTATTCAATATTTTTCAAAAATTCCAAAGACCGATGGCAGGTACATATATTGACTACCTAAATGACTATATGACCCCCATAAACTGGGGTTTTCCCACCGGCTAGGTCGGGTTATGTAAAAAAGTACCTTAATTTGTGGTCACATATTATGTGGAACAATGGCGTTATGGACACCTGGGTGCCATAAAACCCTGATTTTTTACGTTAGGTTGATTATTTTTGGTATAAATAGACCAATCCTTCGTAGTCAGATTAGTTATATCCTGCATCTCGGGTGCCACCAGCCAACAAGGACTATGGACAAACGGACTACCATTGAGCAACGGAATCTCATCCTGGAACACTTCAAGATTAGATATTCGCATCGTTAAATAGCTAAAATGGTAAATCTAGGCACCACAACTGTATTCAACATCATTCGGCGCTTCGTCGGCGAAAATCGGATAGAGGACAAGGGCAGAAAGGCACCAAACAAGATTTTCACCGAACAGGAGGAGCGGAGGATCATCAGGAAAATAAGGGAAAATGCCAAGCTATCGGCTCCAAAACTGACTCCACAGATGGAGGACGAAATGGGGCAAAAGTGCAGTGTGGAATCTGTGCGCCGGGTTCTGCGCAACCATGACTTTAATGCCCAAGTACCACGGAATAAGCCCTTTATAAGCGCCAAAAATAAAGGGACTAGGATGGCATTCGTCAAAACCCACTTGGACAAGGATTTGGAGTACTGGAACAAATTCATATTTGAAGATTAGCCCAAATTCAACATTTTTGGCTCAGACGGACAAAATTATGTGTGGCGACAGTCCAATACTGAGCTGAGTTCCAAAATCCTAAAGGCAACAGTCAAGCACGACGGAGGAAGTGTCATGGTATGGGCATGTATCTCGGCAGCCGGCGTCGGGAATTTGGTGTTTTTTGAAACAACAATGGACAAGAGTGTGTATTTCAATATATTAAAGGAAAATTTACTCCAAAGTGCCAAGAAGCTAGGAATCCGACGTACTTTCCGGTTCTACCACGACAACGACCAGGACAAAAGCCAAGCATAAGTCCGGATTAGTACAGTCCTGGCATATCTGGAACTGCCCCCACACGATAATTCCACAGGCCCAGTCTCCAGATTTAAATGTTATTTAAAATTTGTGGGCTCTGCTGGAAAATAACATCAGGAATCACAGATCCGATCTCAAAAATGCTCTGCTGGATGAGTGGAGCAAAGTCAGTCCAGAAACCACCCGGAAACTGGTACCTTCCATGAATAATAGGTTAAGGGAGGTTATTAAGGCTAAGGGGTATCATACTAAGTATGAAGATCCTTATTTAAGTTTTTATACGCCTAATAAGTTAATTTTCTAAGACTGTTCCAAAAAAACTTTGACATGTATTTTGGATAAGTTTTAAGTTTTGACTAATTTTAGTTAATTATTTAATATTTTAATAAAAACTGAAGCTTCCTTTTCAAACGTGATATAACATAAAACAAATTGGCATTTAAACATTTTGCGTTTATTGTTTTGTTTAAACCTTATAGCACTTTAAATATTTTGCTAGGCGTTGTTCCAGTTGAACTGCGAGACACTGTAGCTATCAATAATCAGTTATTTTTTTTTGTGTCTAACTAATATCGCAAATCAAAAAACAGTCGGAAGCCAAGTGGAAATTGAAGAACACTTCGATTTCAGGTTGTGGCTGGAGGTTTTTTCTTATTGTTATTTTTGTTGTGTAGGTGTCGGAATTGAATACCAAAAAAAACCTACGGCTTACGTCACGACGAAATACAAGCTTTCCTGAACATTCGTACATATGTATTTACGTGTTAGGTATTTACGTATTACATTTACATATTTACGTACATAGGCAATAAAGTAACTAGTTCAATGTCGCCAAACTAGGAACTTACCACCACTGACGTCATCAATTGATACTAAAGATTGAAGCCGGCCGGCAGCACTCCTTGCGTTAAAAGAGAGCCAACCAATTGCCACAATTCCCCACATACTTCCAATCTCCGTCTCGATGCGTGCCACGTGCCACGTGGCGAGTTATGCGAGCGTATTTGTAAACAATTGCAACCGCATGTTGTTGCCATAGAAAAGCTGTTTTGTATTCGTATTTGTATCCTGTTCCATTTTACTATCAAAACATTGCGTGTTTCCATGCTCTAAGCGCAGGCGCGTGAACTCTGTAGAATTTCCAGGTTGGAAACACTAGAGCGGAAAGCCAAAGAAAATGGAACGTTGACTGGGAGGGCAATGATTTCCATTTACAGTGGCGTTCGAAAAAGATGGTCTGCTTATTGCAATATGTGTTGAAATATTAACGATAAAATATAATTGTTTGTGTGTACCATTGAAATAAAGAAACTGATTAGCACCTTCTTGCAAATATATTTTATCCAACTGTGCACACTATTGTGTGCCATCAGTGTAGTCAAGCCCTCACAGATGCTGTTTTCTTGGGGCCTCTCTCTTTGTTGTCTACTTGTTATTGTCCGTCTTGCAGGTGGGGTGGGGTGGGGTATGGGTATGAGTATTGTTGCCAATGCGATTTTCATGGCAAAAATATAAAATCGATAGACAAATAGCAGTGGGAAATAAAGGTGGCATAATGGGATCATGTTAACTGCGAAACTTACCCGATGCCGTTATTCACACGCACACTATCACGATGCACACGGCACAGCGGTGGCATATGTCACACAAAAGCACACACACACGCGCACGCACGCACACGCACACACTCGCACACACACGCACACAGACAAATGCCGCCTGTGGTGGGTGGGTGGTTGGGTGGGGGGTGAGTCAATTGGGCAATTGGGAATTAGAACTTTTTACTCCAATTGTAGGAACCGTTATAGAAAAATAAAATCAATATAATTATTTTGGTGTGCATATTGGGAACAGTCATCGCACTCTCTCTTTCTATCCAGATTTATCTAAGGCACTAAACTATCGTTGTCGCTTATTATTACGATTGATAATGATTAATTAGTTTAAAGCTGTATTTCAGTTTTTATGCCTTTTGCGTTTGAGTGGCATTTAAAAAATTACGACACGCGAAAACGTCGATTTAACTCAAGGCCAAGTTATTGATTGGACACTAAGTCTAAACGTGGCACAATATAAATATTTTGATGTCTATATAAAAGTTTTGTGCATCGATTCTGTCACTTTTGTGTCCTTTGTCTGCTTCGCTTGAGCTTAAAACTTCGACTGAATGCTAAACAGTCTGCGACTGTCACTGAGTCACCTCAGTACAACGCCACCCCCCCACACCATACCTCTTCCAGGACACTTCCAGTGCGCTTCCAATGGACGGTAAGTTAGTTGGCTTAGCGCATGCAGTTGGCCAATATTTGCGTCATCATAACAAGGCCCTTGGCAATATGCGTGACACATTATGGCCAGTTAGTAATTGCATTTAATAGTTGTTGCCAGTTTCACAAATTACACAGTAAATTTTTACAACGAAAGTAAAACATTTAAAATTATAGTGTTCTGTTCTGTTTTTCACCATCTCAAATTATTATTATTATCTGTTATTAGTATTATCTGTGGATAGAGTAAGAAATAATCTACGTATTTAGCTAGAAAGATCGGAAAGGCAATTTTCTAAGTGATTTTTTAAATATTTGCTTAATTTTCGTAATTGGAATAAAAGGAGTACAAACAGAAACATTTTGTTTTTAGATATATTTTCTATCTGAAACGAAATGTTTTACAATTATGAAGGCTTTTTCTATTTTTCAGAAATTTATTTCATTAGAAAATATTGCTAAAAAGTACAAATGCAATTCTTTATTTTTGAAAATCGGAAAATTTCAGATTTTTAAAATAAAATAAATGATGTTCTAAACTATCCACAATTATTGAATAATAACAATCGAAAAATAGTAATGTTAGTATAATTAACATAAAAGCTAATGTAAAAGTTCTGCGTACACGGATTAAAAAAAAATCAATCTGGAAATTGGATATCTTTATTCTAAATTTTAGAAAAATGTTCAATGGAAATAAGAAAAGAAATCTCTGGTTTTCAATAAGACACAACGCTTCCTTTTAGAAATGTAATTTCTAAATAATTAGTTGAGTTGGCGATTTTGTAAAATCTAATATTCTAAAAAGTGTACAAAGTTATGGCAGTTTAAAGTCTTGTAGGAGCATTTTTAGGGACAAGAATTCTTGGAAATAGAGATAATTTTTTTTCCTCGAAGCTTTTCAGTTTCTGCACTTTCAACAGGAAAATCTTGAGTGAGTTTTGAGATCCAAATTTTTTTATTGTCAAAGTATTGTGAGTTTGAAAACAATGTCAAGTCGGAGGCACAACAACATCGGTATTGATACACTAATGGCAATCGTGGCAATGGTAACCGTGGCTCATCCATTGTCCGGCAGTGAATACAATTATAATTCCTATTCTGGAAAATATCAGACATCTGATCGTCGCAGCGACTACACTAACAAGTATCGCTTAGGTCTGCAAATACAGTCGAATAGATCATTCAATGCAGCTTCTCACAACGTGGACAATGATCCCAGCGAGCTGTTCAAGCAGCTGGACAGAAATATGTGGACTGGTGCCCAAAACAATTACAAACTGGACAAGGATGCCAGAAAGCCAAAGGAGAAACTCCTCAACTGGGTACACAGTACGTACGAACTGCAGAAAGAGTATCCACTTGAGGATCGGGAGCAGCAACTGCGACGCATGGAACATATTCAGAATGAGGCCGCCGATCGCGAATTTCAGCGCATGATGAAGATGAACGCGCAACGGGAACGAGTTGAGGCATCACCTCCACTGCAACGTAGGATAGCTAGTGAGAAAAAGAACCCCTTAGCCAAGATTATGACACTCTGCAAGAGACCCGAGTCCAAAAGAACCACATGTGCTCCCGATTACAGACCAACAGCAATAACAAAAACAACAACAACCTATTCTGCGCCTCATGCCAAGAAGGCCAAGAAACTGCAATTGAAGCCAAATGCCGTTAAGCGCGTACTCCAAATCTCGGCACGAATGAAGAAACGGGCTCTTGTCATCATCAAGAATCTCAACCAACTCGAAACGGAGATCGTCAAGAAATTGCCAGCGAACTGTGGCAAACCTACAACAACTTCCGCTAATCCCGAGCCAACTTGTACAGTTACGGAGCCATTGACAACGATGGTGGAACAAACGACAGCGATGCCCACAGAGCCAACTCCATTGGATAGGTCAAAGAATAAGACGCGTGAAAGATTGGACAAGCCCACATCGACAACATCGATGACGACAACAAAACGGGCTCCATCGAAGCACAATCATGGCTATTACTTTGGCTATGGAGCGCCTGATGAGCTGAATACCGACTCGGATGTGGCAGCAGCGCTGAAGGAGGAGCAGCGGCTGGAGCAGAAGGTGCGCGAGGAGCAGCATATGCAGCGTGAGTCGACGCGAAACGAACGCCAACAGGGGCTGGCAAAACGACGACGCAACTGGTTGCAAGACAAAAAGAAACGTGACCGCTACGAACGAAAATCATCGATTCGAGGGAATTTTATAAATAGGCAGGACCACGTTACGTTTAATCAAGAAAAGCGGGCTCCAATTTGTCTCAATCACAATAATTTGGGTAGATATAAATGAAAGCGAAACAAACAAACAAACAGAGTTGCAAGAGATAAGAGTTAGACATAAATTTCGTTTAAATAATCCCATTCAAGCTAATGTTAGTTTTATAATAATTATATTTTTATAATAAAAATTCAGCAATTTAAATATACGTTTTAATTTAAATATGATGGGCTGCTCACTTTTCGATAAGTTGGAATCACTTGCACAGGGTCTCTCAAAATTATATCGTATGGTAATACGATGTTTTCCTCACAAAAATATCGACTAGCTGGTGGCGGTTATCTGAGGAACTTTTGAAACCATCGATGTTCTCAAAAATGATGATATGAAATGTAAAGTTATAATTTTACATTTCAAAATGTTGTAGCAATCTCCCACTGAAAGCCTAGCTTTCAGATCTTGAAGGTTAAAACCATTTATCATTCATATTTTCTATTTCTATTTTGATGCTCTTGCCGCTTCTATATTGGTTTGCCGATAGCCGCCGTCAAAATATATCAAAGTTAATTATTTTGAAACCACTTGCTGTTTAAATTGTGGATTTAAGTTTTGAGTCCTCTAAACCGGCCGTCAAAACTCCGCCGCGAAATATTTCAGGACCTGTTTGACACCGTTTTGTTTATGAAGTTTTCATTATCGATAACTTTTCTTATCGTAAGCTGTGCTGCAGCGTAGCAATTAACTGTATCATCGATGGTATGTCGAAGTCTATCGATATTGTTACAGTTACTTTGACAGCTGTACGACCGAAAACGATAGGGAGAAAAGATTGCTTGACAATTGTTTGCCAAATTGATAGCTCTCACAATAAGAAAATCATTTTTCTCCATTTTGGAAGTATTCTCAATTTGCACTATTCGAATTATTTTATAGCGCTTCATAATCTTTTACTGGTTTCCAGCTTATTGCCATGTCATTGAAAGCGAAAGAAGAATATGATTATCTAAAGGATGTCACAATTGTGGTGCGCTCGCTAATAAATTCGCTCAAGCCGCCGGTTAGCTTGCAGATGATAGAGCGTGATTATTTTGCAGAGGAGCAAAAACCAATCCCATATTGTCTGTTGGGCTATAAGAATGCACTGGATTTGCTGGAGCATACAAATGAATTCAATTTCCAGAAAGTCGGCAAAGAAGTGAGTAAATGAGTGCGAGAGAGAGGTGACTACATTCTCACCCGCATTTCTTTTTCTTTCGCTATCTCCTCTCACTCTGATATACAGAGCTTTTGGGTGTCTTCATTTTGAGCTTTTACTAGCGCTTGCCCGCTTTTGTGCTCAGTAAGTTTCGGTACGTCAACGCGTGCGGTGCTGTTTCTTTCTCTCTCTATTTCGCTGGCTAGCTCTGTGTCGGTGTGTGCGTGTTGTGTGTTGTGTGTGCTGTGTGTGCTGTACGGGGCTGGGCTTGTCTGCCATCAAAGAGGCAACGTGTCAACTTACGCCGCGCGTTCGTCGCATCCTCATCAAAAGTGTAAACAATGTTTGTTATTTGCTTATTTTACGACCATATGCCGCCTCATATGACAGATATATGTGCTGATTAGCCATTTTAATAAATGCAACAGCAGCCAAAAAGAGAAAAGAAAAAAATTCATAGCGAAAAATGACTGCGCCAATTTAAACATTTTTTTTTTGGCTGTTCGACTTTGCTGCTCTCTTTCTGCGCTCTTCCTCGCCCTGTCTATGTGTGTGTGTGTGTATATATATATTTTCTGCATTTCGCTTTTGCATGCTGGTGAAAGTGAACGAATGTTTTTGTTGTCTGGCAAAGAGAGAGAGAGACGAATGCAGCGTCATATTGCATTTTAATGTTTGCTGTTGTTGCTCGTTCGCTGACTATTGTTTTAATTTATTTTTAAATGGCATGCACTTATGTGCTGTTTTGTGCTTTCTCATTGTATAAATGTCAAGCGTCAATCGTCCCATCCATTTTTGATGTTCTTATCAGAATGCCGCCGTGCATTACTGCATTTACTCTCGGCTTCCAGTTCGATTCTTGTTCTCTCAACTCCCACGCTCCAATTGGCCTCATTTGACATTTACATGCTATATCTCAGTAGTGGGTGGTGTGTTTTTATGTTTAGTCTGTCTGCCAGCCTGTGGGATGCTGGAAAAAATGCTGAGAATGCATTGCTAAATCAATAAATGCATGCATCTAGTACATGTGTATTTTATATATATATTTTTGATATTGAAATATATATATATAATTCCAAACAATGTTTCATTATTGTTATAATATTGTACGAAATTGTTTGGCGAGTATTTAAAAACAATTTCATTTTAAATTTGTTAGTTGCCTCACTTTATAAAGTCAGTTGACCATTTTGTTTATTGCTCTGATAATTGCAACTGTTTCCGCTTCCATTTATGTTGTGCAGCACAACACAAATACAAATATTGCGAATAGAGTGACTAATCAGTTAGTTGTTTATAACAACAGCAACAACAACAACAGTTTTCACAGCTTTCTCTGCAAAAAAGCTAATTACTTAATAACTTTGCAATTTCATTTGTGCGTTCCCCTTATCACGTTCACTGCTCGTCTTTGTAAGCTTGCCCATAAGTGATTAACGCCATACGTTTATCATATATAAATGTATATATTTATTTGTTCCACACCTCATAAAAAATGTCTTATATTTGCACGACCGACCCACATAATGTGAATCACTCTAGAAGCACATGAGAAATGTATTCAGTGCGACAATTGATCGATATTCTGTAACTCAAACAAAGCAGCCAATAAAAAGCTTAAACATTATTTTGTCAATTGGATGATGATGATATAAACAACTTTTTGCTCTGCAAAATGTCTTAAATAAACTCACCAATTTTAAATGAGACCCATCATCATTTTATGTGGAATAAAGGTTTTTTATTTGTGAAGTAAACCTTCTCAATAGAAATTCGTGTTATGTATACAAAGAGTCTAAACAATTGTATCTCTAACGATTTAATAGTCGAAAATGGTTGGTGTCAGTCAAAGAAAATTATAATTAAATGAGTTAGCTTTAGCTCAAGATTCTATTAAGTAAATTTATAAATAATGTCAACTTCAGGTCAAAATTAAATAAAATCATTAATAGGTTCCATTTTAGCTCAAAATTTCATTTAAGAAATTTTAAATAAGGTCTATGCAATTTATAAATAAGTTCAACTTTAGCTTACAATTAAATATAATTATAAATAAGATAAGCTTTAGGTCAAAATGAAAGAAAATCATAAATAGGTTAAATATTAGCTAAAAATTCTATTAAGTAAATTTATAAATATTTTCAACTTAAACTTAACATTTTTGAAAATAATAAATATGTTTAACATCAACTATAATATATATATGGTCAACTTTAGCTCAAAATGAAAAATAATTATAAATAAAAAATTCCATTAAATATATATATATATATAAGGTATATTAAAGATAATTATATAATGTAGAAATAAGGTCAACTTTAGCTGAACATTTAATGAAATAAAATTATAATTGGGGTCAACATTAGCTCAAAACTCTCGTGTGTCCCCCAATTCATTCAACAAAAGACTCTGACTTTCTTTTCAACTAATTAAATAGACCAAAGTTGAACTTAACTCACGTAGTTATTTTTATTGTTTACTCTTGCAGATCTTTGTTAGCGCCAAGCACAACCCCAAATCGGCGCACATTGCATCTATGGTGCTCGGTCAGAAGAGCAGCAGAAGCAAGTCCAAGTCGAAATTAGTGCGGTCACTAGCGGCACCAGTGCGTCACAGCGTGCGTCCAGTTGCCACTTACAACAACAAAAACGACGAAAATAATAACAACTGCTACAACCACAATTACGGACAACAGGAAGTGGAACGTTTACGCAAACAACTTGAGCAGCTGCGTCAGCAACAGGAGCAACAACAGCAACACGAATACAAGTTGCGTGAGCAGGGACGATTGCAGCAATTGCAGATCAGCCAGCTGCAGCAACAACTAAAGCAGACCTCTGAGGCAGCAGCAGCCAGGCAGCAGGAGCAGGAACAGCTAAAGCGTCGTCAGACCAAAGCGGAACTGCTCACCGACCCAGTGCTCAACGAACTAAGTGAGCGAACGAGCAAAGCAGATAAAGCAGTCAAAGCAATCAAAGCTGCCAACCTATCTTTGACACTAAAGCCACCAAGCTCAGCTCCTTCTGACCAGTTGCCAACTGAGATGAATGGGAACGCAGCTGCTGCTGCTGGAGCTGCTACTGCTTCCGCTGCAGCTGCCACACGCCACAAGCCTCAGCTGCGTCCCATATTGGGCAATAGTGCGCCACAGCAGCGTCCGGCAACGATGATGATAAAACCGCATCCGACGACAGATGCAACGACTGGAAATAAACGCCAGCCGCATGCACGTGCTCAATATTCTGGAGCACGTGGTGGCGGCAACGGTGGCGTCTCCGTCAACTATAGACTGAAACAGCAGCAACAGACGCCGGCAGCAGCAGGAGGAGCAGGAGCAATAGGAACAGGAGCAACAGCAGAAGAATCTTCCAATTTAATAACGCCACCCGATTCGCCAGAGGATGCCGTCAGCAACAAGACAACGTTCAAGGCACGAAAACAACAACAGGATGTCAAAGTGCGTCAGCCGACATCGTCTCCCATGCAGGTGAGTAACTTCTATGCCAGATCAGGACATCTGTTCAATATAAAGATATATAGCAGCGAACAAAAATAGCACCATTCTCAAAGGAAATGTCTCTATTACATTTGGAATCTTATGAATTCTTTTCTAGAACTCTTCCATTTGTGAAAATTTAAAATGAAATAAAACTTTCATTACTTCTAGCTAGTTGTGTATTAAAGTTTAGGTTATTTGGTCAATTTAGTATTGCATATATTGAGTAGCAAAGCATCAGAGAATCCAAAATAATAACTCAAAAGTGTTGGTGTCTTATGGCTTTGATCCAATACATCGAACCTAGTCCACAGAAGCTCCTAGCGTAATGCTTGATCCTCGGTGTTTAATCAGTTTTATTCTGAGCAATTTTTTTCTCATTCCTATATTATTGGACTGACCAGTTTTGAAGTTCCTTTGCGAACTTGACTGTATGTTATGCACAAGAGCTAATTATATTTTCTCCCACATATCCAATGTAAAACCTAAACTTAACTTTTTAATTTGTTCGAATCTTTCAGGCCATGAAGCAGCCGTTGCATCTGAGTGCCAAGTTTAAATTTGATCCAGCCTACGATGCGGTCTCCTCGCTGAACCAATACTGCGTCGCCTTCGGCTATGCGCCGCCAGAGTATGAGTTTCATCATGCGAACAAGAGCAACCGGCTGCACTGTAAGGTGCGCATCGGGAAGAGCGTCTACAGCAGCTACCCTGAGGAGCATGCGGACGAGGAGACGGCCAAGCAGCGCACGTCCGAGCTGGCCGTGGACCGGCTCCAGCTGCTCGAATCGCGTAAGCATCTCACGCTGCTCAGCGACAACGAATTTCTCGATGGACTCTATCGTGAGTTGGTCAAGCATCCGAATGGAATACTCAGTCACAAGCTGCCCGAGTGGTACGAGGCGACGGCGAAGCGTCAGGTGCCCAGCAACTGGTGGAGCCTTATCGATCTCTCGCCACAAATGCGAATCGAGAGCAGCGTAAATACGCATATTGTGTTTGCCAATAGCCCCGCGGCGAGTCCGACATTGATTGTGGCACCCACTGCGATGCCAGAGCTGCAGTTGCCCTGGGTGGATGGGCAGCAGGATTGGAGCATGTATATCACACACTGCGATAATACAACGCATGTCTGGGCACGCCTCATCGAGCAGAGTGCCCAATTCGAGAAGCTGACCGCACAGCTGAATGCGTACATGTCGCGACCGCAGAATCGACAACCACTGCAGCAGCAGCAGCATCCTGTCGTGCTGGATATCTATCTGGTGGAGGTCAGTGAGAATTGGAATCGGGTGCGTGTCATGTCCGTGGATGCGGAGCAGCGTCAGTGCAGCTGTCACTTTGTGGACTTTGGCGATGAGGTGATCATCCAGTATGACATTATCTATTTGTGCCCGCCACAATTTCTGGCGCTGCCCGCACAGGCTGTGTGCCTCAGCATGTATGCCTTGGACAAATTCGAGGAGCATCCGCATGCGTTGCCCGTGCTGGCCAAAGAGCTGGCCGCGCACAGCGTTGTCACCCGCATAATAACCAGCGAAACGCAGTTCCTTGCCGCTGGTGGCCTGGCACAGGGTGTGCTTCTACAGCCCGAGGAGCCGGGCGAGGAGCGTGGCAAGCGGCGTGCCTGCATCGTGGGCACGTTCTATGACACCTCGACGGCGGAGGATATACATCTCAATGATCTGGTGGCCAATCAGATAATACGTAACACTCCTTCGCCGATGCTCAAATTGGAACAGAAATCCAATCATGTCCTCGTGTCGCACGTGAACGATGTGGGCGATCTGATGGTGCTGATACCCAACGATGATCTGAGCTTCGTGCAGCGGAGCATAACCAAAATAATGAGCGATGCCAGCGAACAGCATCGTGTCACCTACTCGGATCTCTTGCACGATCAGCTGACCTGCGTCTGCGATGAGGCTGGCGATGGCCTCAAGAAATGGTATCGTGGCATGCTCACCTCGAAGCCCAAGTCACCCGAGGAGGAGGTCTTCGAGGTCTACTATGTGGACGATGGCCGTTTGCGCAAGACTCACATTTCCAACATCTATCGCCTGGAGGCCAACAATCTGGCACTCGCCTCATTTCCAGCTCAAGCGTTGCGCGTCCGTCTCCACGATGTGCCCCCCATCGATAACCAGATGGTTGGACGACTCCGTGGATTGCTCTCCCCACAGACGCCAGTGCTGGTAAGCAATGCACTCTAGTGTTGAATTTGTAGCGCCTACTTCAATTTTGTTGAAAAGTGCGAAGATTTCTGCTCCGAAAGAATGCAATTTAGTCTTGAATTTGGAGAGTTTAGTTTTGAATTGCATTGGAAAGTGTGAAAAAGATGAACAATTATTTATATAAGTATAATCTTGATCAGTCAAATCAATATATCCAAGTCCATCTCACTTTCCATGTCTCTTTTCAGTTCTTCATAATTCAATCTTCAATTTAGTGTTGAATTTGTGAAGCCTAGTTTTAAATTGTATCGAAATTTGTGAAGAAGGAAAAAATCATTTATACATATATATCATCTTGATCAGTCGAGTTGATTTAGTTGTTTTACTTATCAAGAGAGAACAATTAATTTGAATTTGTATAGTCTTATTTTGAATTGTGTAGGGAAGTGTGAAGAAGGAGATATCGACTGTGCATAGATATGATAATTTATATAGGTTCTTGATCAGCCGTGTCTTTGTAGCCAAATCCGTCTACCTTTGTCTCTATGTGTATTTTTAGTCCATCATAATTCCTTCTGCAATTTAGTGTTGAATCCGTAGTCTCCTTGGAGAATTGTGAAGAAGGAGATGTGTACAGCCCAAAGACCCTAGCACTTATAAATTATTTATTTTGGATCAGCCATCCCTCTATGTATATCTTCGTCTATCCTTCACATTTAGTGAGAGCTGATTTTTTGTATTAATATTAATTAGCATGCAATTTTCGGCTTATCGTAGCTAAATTATATTTCTTGTCAATACAAATGATGAGCATCTGTCTTATCTGCTCCCATCTCCCATATATCTCTTATCTGCTCCTCTTCTGTTGCAGCTCAAGATAATGGAGGGCGCCAATGACAAGCTGCCAATGGTGACGATTCATGCACGCGGCCAGGATAGCTTGTATTTGTGCCTGAACAGTGCCATTCGCATGGAGTATGAGGTGCAAAGGTAAGTTGACAACTTCTGTCGTCTGTCACTCACTCATACAGACACACACACACACACCACACACACATATACACTCATCTGCACATACACACACACACGCACATGAAATGTACAAAACAAAATACCCAAAAACATCTTTTGCTCTACTTGTGGTTTAATGATAGTCTCTAATTAGTGCTTTCAATAAACTGGAACTGACATGAAATTATCGCTACAAAATTATCTCAACATTCACGACTCCTTCAACTCACAACATTCTGTAAGCTAACCTTCGTTCGAAATAAGTGCTTAGCTCTAAGGATTCATTTTATCATCATTGTAAATAATACGACAAAGATATAAAAATAATAATAATAATAATATGGGAGTCAGAAATACATACATAAATTATTATTCTGCTAAAAGCCAAGGAAAAAGAAAAACAGTATTTTTGTTGTTGTTCTATCCAATGTGTAACCTGTACCCGATGTAACCTTCACTCCTACCATCCATCATTCACTGCCGTCCTCCTTTTAATTTGCCCACACACCTACACCTACCTTTTGCTGCACCCGCATGTGTGTCTCTAGTACGACGCGGCTGGAACCGTTTGACGACGGCGGCCTGCATTTCAGTGCCAGCGGTCAGTTGATACGACGCAGCAGCTTCAGCTCCACCATATCCAGTCAGAACCAGAGCAGCAGCAGCGATCTGACCCCGTCGATGACGGCAGCAACAACAACAAGCGTTGGCAACGTCGCCTCTCCTCCGAGCACACCAAATAAACCCAAACTCGCCACTCACTCGGTGCTGGCCATGCTCAAGGAGTACGAGGCCATTCCGGCGGTGGGTGTCTATTTTGAGGTGCGTGTCGCGCTCTCCATCAATCCCGGTCGCTTTGCGGTAAGCGTCATTCCCATATAGTTATGCCTATATCTTAATTGATCCCTCTTTCTTGTAGGTGCAACCCTACAAGTACTACAATCAGCTACAGCGTCTGATGAAGGACTTGCAGGCACATTGCAAAGGTCCAAGCGCTCAGCGTGTGGAGCCCAATCAACTGGCTATTGGTCAAGCCTACGCTGCGACAGACAACGATGGCGTCTATCATCGGTGAGTAATCTTACCACTCCCATCCTAAATACATTAAATTTATGTTATTTTTTTTTTAAAATTCATAGCGTAAATATTCGCAAGATTTACGATGAAATGATTCAGGTGCGCTTTGTGGATGCTGGAGACGAGGGCGTTGTGCGCTGCAACCAACTGCTGCAACTAACGCCAGAGTTTCGCGAGTTGCCCATGATGGCGCTGCCAGCCCAGCTACATGGTAATCCGGCCACAAACCAAATCCAATTTAATAGCCCATCACTTAACATGTTATCTTTTTCCAACAGGCATCAAGCTGGAGGGCATCGTTTGGACGCAGGAGAATTGTGTGCGCTTTCGCAAGCTGACGCTGGGCCAGAAATTCATTGGCATAGTGCGACGCGTGGACAAGCTGGAGGATGAGCGACGTGCGCTCAGCTTGGAGCTAATCGATACCTCAACGCCGAAAGATATTAAACTGCACGAGACTCTCATTGAGGAGAAGCATGCGCTGCCTGCTTGAGCCTCGAGCCTTGTGCCACAAGCAAAACGAGGATTACTAAACTAGAAACAACTCATTTTTATACGGCTTAACTTTTATTATTTGTTTTTTTTTTAACTTATGTGGCCTACGTAGCTATTACACGCAAGCATATACATATATACACACACACACACACGCATATTTATGAGCCCCCACATTCCGCGACTAGTACCTAAGATATTGATATTACCATATACATATATATTATATGTTATACACTACTATGTTACGAAACGATGTTGCAAGAGCAAGCGGCAAGCGCAACAATAAATTATGATTGTTTTTCTACCGAGAGAAGGGATGCACCTGATTCGCTGACTTTATGTTGGTCTTCACCGCCGACGGCGCTTTGCCCAACTGCTGTTGCACGTTGCCGGGACTCATAGACGGACCGCCCATCGGTGGTGTTTGTCCCCGTATCGATGGCGGCACCATCATGCCCGGTCCACCAGGGCCGGGACCATACGTCTTAAATTGCAGGCCCTTGCCCATGCCAACGGCAGCCACCAGCAGCTGTGTGTCCGTCATGCTGCTCGTTTGCTGAATGCCTGTGCGAGAGCTGGACTCAATTTCCCACTCTTCGCGGGCCTTGCTCACCATCTCGAGCACATGGGAGACGACCTTGTTGTACTGTGTCACCTGCTTCATAGCCGCATCGTTGGTGAGATTCGCCGCTTTCTGTTCGTTCTGTTGCATCTTCGTTTCCGTTATTGGATCGGGTCGGGTGCGCAGATAGTCGGGCACAATGTCGTGCGAGAAAACAGGCACACGTCCCTCAGTGATGTTGACCAACGTCTCGTCCCGATCCATGGCCACGAGCAGGGGCAGCACGGTGCGATTACGCAGCGGCGGACACTGCTCCTTCGCCAGGATTTTGGTCAAACCGGTTAAATGGCTGGAGATGATGGCAAAGTTATCGAGGAACGTTGGCCAATTGATATCCATGTATTCCATTTCCAGTTTCTGTATCATCGAAAGCACTGCCAATTTTAAATCATTTAGACGCTGCACAACCGCATCCAGCGTCATTTCAAAGTGCTTCTCCTCGCGCTGCATTTTTTTTTGGTAAATTTACTTTGTTTAAATCAGTTTTAACAAATGCCAACTGCATCTCCAGCTGTCTCTGAATAAATATATCGATATTTAAATACTAAATGTGCGATAGTTGTGCACTTTGGCATATCGATAGTTTTGTGCAATTCATTTGCGAGATTTATCCAAGTGAATGGATGATTTATATATTATCGAATTTAGTTTTGATTATTTATTTTTAAAAATTTATTTCTTTAAAAGTGTCGAATAGATTATTTCGAAGTGGCGAACTGATTTATATTTTATTTATTTTCATTTTTATTTTCCACAATTTGTTTAGTTTCGATTATTTAAAAACGCGAGCAGTGAATTATTTTATATATTGGAAATAACAATGCAATGCATATCACAGATTTATTGGAGTGACGGAGTGATTTATATACTGTATTGAAAACAATCTCTTTTGTTTTGATTATTTATTTAAAAAGTGTATTGCTTTAAATTGATTGACTGTTGTATTAGATTATATTTTGGAATAGAACGATTCGTGTACGACCATATTCGATTGAATATCCTTCAGTTTTTGACAGCCGATCAGCGCCATAGTTATTTCAAAATCTTTTCGCAACACACTCAATAGTTCCTCGACGCCTCGCTCTCCATTGTAGGCCAGGCCATAAACAGCCGGACGGCCAATGAAAACAGTTTTGGCGCCCAATGCTAAGGCTTTGAATATATCGTTGCCCTGCATGATGCCGCCATCTAACATGACCAGAAGATCCTTGCCCACTGCTTTGACCACCTCTGGGAGTGCCTCGATGGAGGCGGGCACTGTGTCAATTTGTCGAGCACCATGATTGGACACAATAATGCCAGCGCAGCCAAATTCACGGGCCAGGACAGCATCCTCGGCAGTCAGCACACCCTTCACGATGATCGGTAAGCTGGTTAGTTGCTTTAGCCAATTGATGTCCTTCCAGGTGATGCTAGGATCGAATTGATTGACAACATATTCATTAATGCCAGAGCCACCCATGGTGACCACTCCATTCGCCTGCTCCCCTTGAAAGTTGGCCAAACTCAAATGGGATGGCAAACTGAATTTGTTGCGCACATCCGAACGTCGATGTCCAAAAATGGGAGCATCAATAGTTAGCACCAATGCCTTGAAATTGGCCTTCTCAGCACGGTGAACTAACTTCTTGGTCAGTGAGCTACAAAACGATGAAATGAATACTTTACTTTAAGTTACGTAATTATGGATATTCAAAGTTACCGATCTTTGTATATATAAAGCTGAAACCACTTGTGGGTGTCTGGTGCGCCGGCAGCTAGGTCCTCTAGCGATGTTGTCGATAGCGTGCTCAAAATGAATATGGAGCCCGCTTTGCCAGCGGCGCGAGCGTTGCCAATTTCACCATCCGGATGCGCCATCTTCTGCATTGCTGTGGGTGCAATGCCCACCGGCCACTTTTGTTGCTGTCCCAGAATCTGGCAGCTGATATCTGGCTGGGAGACATCGCGGAGACAACGTGGACGCAGGCGCAATCTACCCAAACCATACAGAAAAGGTAGCAATTTATGAATGCTATTAAAGGTCATAGGTAGCAATCAGCTGCTCACCTTCTGAAGGCCTCTCGATTTAGTTTCAGCGAGAATTGTTCTCCAGCCCCGCTCTTATAATAGTCCAATGTACTTTTCTCCAGCTGACTGGATGCCTTCTCCTCAAAGTCCTCGACACAAACCAGAGCCATCTTCACTAAGACAAATTGAAAGTGTTTGTCGTTGTATGCTAACTTCAAGACTGCGTCTTAATTCGTAGAGGATTAAGTATATATATGTTTATTAACAGACTCACTGATAACCGTCTGGATCCGCAGCTGATAACTACAAATTCAAAATAGACGCAGAACTTACGTCGTGGAACACATCATTCGACTACTTTGACGACTATCTATCTTTGGCTACAAGTGGTGCACTGATAAGCAAATTACTTGCTACTATTCGGTAATAATTTGTTTGAATATCATTTGCTTTAATGGTGTACGATGTTATATGATATTTTTCTATACGATTTTTCTATAAAGATGGGATAATTATTTCAATTACAAGGAAAAACGTTGCAGTCGGGCGTAACCGACTGCGAAATACTTTGATACCATACGTAATAAAAGCTGATAACAGGTTGCAAAGAACAGTGCGGATATAGCCAAGAAATACTGTCCAAATTTTTCTTTCAAATTGCGATATATATAAGCTAGTAACGTTTCATCGAAGTTTGGTAACTGTAGCTCTTAAATTACGGGAGATATGAGATTTTGAAAATGGTACGGGAAAAATATCTTTCAAATTTGGTAACTCTAGCTTTCAAACTGTGTATCGATTTGTATCGATATCTTAGTCGAGTTACCAGTAACATACTTTTAGAATTTAGCGACTCTAGCTTACAAATTGTAGAAGATATGCGCATTTCAGATTTCTAGGGTTGAAGTTCCTGGGGGCGGCGGGTGTGGTCCGAAAATGTATATGCCGATCCTTGGAGATGATTGCCAGCAAGCGACCTTCCAAGCTTGGTCACTCTAACTTCATAATTGTGAGAGATATGCGGATTTATCGATTTACATATTCTGAAATATCGGCTTTGGCGATTATGAGCGCAGGTGTGGGCGTGGTTATACAAAATTTGTTATCGGTTTTTAAAGGCGGCTACCAGTAATATAAATACCAAATTTGACGGCTCGAACTGAAAAACTGAGAGAGACACAGCCATATAAAATTTGTAGGGCAGAGGGCCAGGGGGCGGCGAAGGTGGGCGTGGCATATGCCGATCTTTGAAGGACATCGCCAACAACCTACCAATCAAATTTGGTGACTGCCCTTCAAATTGTAGGATATATGTGGCTTTATCGTTTTGCGAATATCGATTTCTTAGCCCCCCGGTGGATGTAGCACTCCAATTTTTACAATTTTTCTGACGTGTGCACAGACCAGTATATGTTCCAAGTTTCATGTCCCTATCCTTAAGAGTGTCGACAAAAAGTTGCGGACAAACAGCATGACAGACATTCCAGAAAACCAATATACTATAACTCCTTCGGTATCAAAGTATGAAAAGAATGGAGTTAATTGGGTTTTCTTTTTGAACGAACGGACAATTTAAAGTATTATATCATACTTTTACGGATAATATTAAAATCTACAGTAACAAAAATTTCTTAAAATCCAGTTTTAAAGCATACTTTAGGGGTGAATCAAAAGCCACAAAAATGGCTTTCTTCTGAAAAATGTTAATGCAGCATTTCATATTGACTGAAACTACAAATAAAACTCACATTTATCAATAATTTGAATCAATTTATTCATATTTATTTAAAGTAGTTTTTCTTTTTTAATGTAAATGAATTTTAACTTTATTTTTTTCATCCCTTGGGCAAATGAAAAAATCTTATATTGATGTATCCTAAATATTGATGAATAAAAAATTGTTCAAAATGCATCGAAAAGGTTGTTGCAAAATTTAAATGAATTATTCAATACACACTTCAACACAACATAAAAATGCACTCTTCGACACTATTAAAAGCACTGTAAGCTTTTGCCCACAACCTACCTCAATTGAGCTATTTCCGATTCCTATACATATGTCTTTATACAAGTATGCAAGCACTTGTATGCTTATGTTTGTGTTTATATTAAAAGCTTTAAAGCACAAAACACAATTCTGCGACACTCTTCTCGGGCAAAGCACGGAATATATTGACAATGAGTCCCAACATACTATACAATGTTGTTAAATATCAGCGATTTTCAACGAGACCTCAGTCGTGAGCAGCAGCTAGCGCTGAGTGGTTGCAGAAAAAGTATTTGTTGAAAATGTTGTCGAAGAGCATAATTCCCAGCACAGTAAATGCTGATCTGCAAAAGGAACGCGAGGGGGCCAGTTTTAATAGCGAAGAGTTTGCTGCCTGGTGGGCGGGTGGCCCAGAGCAACTGAAGTTTAAGAGAAGCGTCAGTAAGTTAATTAAAATAAGAGTAATTTTCGCTTTTTATCTTCGTACACTGAACTTGTTTTGAACCGTGCAGGTAAAAATGTCATTGTACAAAATGTAATCTTGTTTCTATTATTATTCACAGATTGCAAACATTAAGCTATCTTTATAATTGCACTGATTAACAAATATAATCGCCATTTATAATTCTCATATATGGAGAAAATATGTGACAAATTGCGACTAATGCTGACTCGGCACTTTTCCCTTTTCTTTCTCTGTGTTTTATAGAAGAGTATATGTACAAGGACATCAATTTGGATGAACGCGCCAATTTCCATTATTTATCGCATGAGGATATTTGCGAATTCGCCGTGAAGAACAGCATCAATGTGGCGAAAAAGCTGCGCCAGCTTCAAGCTGAACGTAATCCCGGCGGCAGCGAATACTGGCCGTGAGTAAAAGTAAATATTGAAGAGAAGAGTAATTCTCTCTTACATAGTAATCTCTGTTGACGCCAGCACTCTCTACGAAGAGCCGGACCTAGCGGGCCTGCATTTGGCTGGCAATCCCTTTGGCGTGATGTATGTGATGGTGGTGAAAGCTCTCAAGGCCCAGTGCACAGCCGAGCAGTACGAGGAGTTTGGAAAGCGACTGGAACAATTCGAAGTGTGTGCCGCCTATGCGCAAACCGAACTGGGACATGGCACCTATCTGCGCGGCCTGGAGACCCGTGCCGATTTCGATCGTGACACGGATGAGTTTGTGCTGAATACACCAACCATTTCAGCCTACAAGTGGTGGCCCGGCGGCTGTAAGTAGCATTCATAGTATACACTCAGAGAAAAATCGCCCCAAAAATTGTAGTCAATCTCCATTTAGGCACTTGGCACTGGCTGGTCACCATAGAAAGTGAATTTCTATCTATTTTCTACAACTTCCACAAAATATATCTAATTTCCAGGATATTTCCTGTTTTCTATCTGTGTACTTTGATTAATTATTATATTCTTATATTAGCATTTTGCATTTTATCAATCATTTTATTCATTCAATATATAAGCTGAGCCAGTATACTTCCTTACTTGTTTCTGTATTTTCTAAAATTAACGTTTGCATTTCTACTTTTTAGAAATGTTTTTCTTAAGAACAGAAATTATTTGTAAGGAATCGAAAAGGATCGCGGTTTTTTTTATTGATTGTCGATTTAGAAATTTATTTTCATAATATTTAGAAATGATTTGTAAAACATATTGATATGATTATTGCAGTGGGTCACAGCGCCAACTATAGCCTGGTCATGGCGCAGCTGTACATCGATAACCAGTTGAAGGGACCGCACTTGTTCTACGTGCAGGTGCGCGAGGAGGGAACACACGAACCGAGGCCGGGGGTGCACATTGGCGAGATTGGCAAGAAGATGGGCTTCCTTGGCGTTAACAATGGCTTCCTGGGCATGAAGGATGTCCGCATTCCACGCAATCGCCTGCTGATGCGCCACGTGCAGGTGCATCGTGACGGGACCTACGTGAAGAGCCCGGTGGATGTTCTGACCTACTTTGCCATGGTTTCCACGCGCTGCATCATTGCCCGGATTGCATATGTGGCTCTGGCCGTAACTGCAACCATTGCCACTCGTTATTCCGCTGTGCGGCGTCAGAGTCCCATCGATCCCAAGTAATGCATTCCATAATTCATATGTTGTTCATTTTATATCTAATCTTTTGCGCAGATTACCGGAGGTACAGATCATAGATCATGTGACTCAGCAGCTGAAAGTGTTTCCCGAGATAGCCACCAGCATGGCCCATCGTCTGTGCTTCGACTACCTCTGGGATCTGTTCAATGTCACCTCCAAGGACATAGACCAAGGCAGATATGAGCGTCTGCCCGAGCTGCACGCGCTCTCGTGTGCCTTGAAGGTCATTTCTTCGACTGATGCCACCAGGGGAACCGAGCGGCTGCGTCTGGCATGTGGTGGTCATGGTTATCTCACCTCATCCAATCTGGGCAATATTTATGCCCATATGTCAGCCTCCTGTACCTATGAGGGTGAGAATACGGTGCTCCTGTTGCAGATTGGTCGTTTCCTGATCAAATCTTGGCGCGCTGCTCAAAAAGGAGATCCTCTGCCACCCACCGCCAGATATTTGGCTGAGGTGCAACGAAATCCCGAATTTGGAGCATGGACAGGCAGCTGGGAGAATATGACGAAGGCCATGCAGTTTGCCGCTGCCAAGTGAGTTGCCGAATAGTTTGCCTCTATCCTGAAGGATAACATGTAATGGATATCAATTCTATTTCACAGCAAGACGCGCCTGGCATTCCAGAGCCTTTCCAAGCGTCTGGACAAGGGCGAATCCGAGGAGGTTGCCGCAAGCCACACTGGAATTGAACTTACCCAGGCCGCTGAGGTACTCACCAATACCCAATTCTTAACATGCTCAATTGTTCTAAATATTTGTTCCTCTTATAGCTTCATGGACGTGCCTTTATATTCCACTGCTTCATCACTGAGATAACCGGACCAAAGTCCAAGACACGCTCGCCGTCGCTGAATCGTGTCTTGGAGCAGCTGCTGGAACTGTATCTGGTCAATATGACATTGAACAACATGAGCGACATTCTCCGGGTGAGTCTGCCATGGAATTCAATGCAACACTCTGAAAAACGTCGCCCTTCATTTTAGAAATTCACTCACCTTATTATTCAGAAAGTATATTTCCAAAATTGAATTTTGTATCTTTTGTTTGTGGTACTTAAGAGTATTCTTCTTAAATTACCCTTTTTATTAGATTAATTTCTTACGATTTTTAGAAATTAGAAGAAACACTTTCTAATTTCCATGGCGAATTTCTACATTTCAGAGCGATAATTTTTCTGAGTTTATATTCTGCTTATGTATTTGTATTACATTTTAAAACATTCCTCAGGTTGTCAGTTTGACGGACGGTGATCTGAGCAAGCTGCAGACACGTTTGGAGACTGCGCTGACCAAGCTCCGACCAGATGCGGTGGCGATCGTTGATGGCTTTGATTTCATCGACGGGCAATTGAATTCCACTTTGGGGTCCTTTGATGGCAATGCCCTCGAACGCATTTTCGATGCGGCTCTAAAGGCGCCCATGAACCAGAAATCGGTTCCAAAGAGTTTCCACGAGTACCTGGGACCATTTATGAAATCCAACCTCTGAAACGTACCCTGAACCGTAAATATCGTTGATGGTCATCAAAGTCTAATCTGTTAATTTTTTTATACTAGAGTATATATATATATATATATTGTTGTATATATATATATATATGTGTATGTAAAGTACTGGCAATTTCATAAATATATTCCCCTTTTATAATAAATCTTAAGAGTGATGTTGATCTTAATGTTACTTAAATTGTTATCTAAATTAATCTCGTAAGATAAGCGATTAATAAAAGCGAGAGTAAACCAAACCAGCTGTTAATATTTATGGTCTTTATTTAAAACTCTTCGATTGCTTTCTCTTTGACGTTCGCTCAGCATGGACAAAGAGAGTGAAACTTTATCAGCTTGTTTGGAGTGAGGCGAAAGAGCAATTCAGATGTTTTGCTCTTTGCACCGAAAGCTCTTTACTTCGTGGACGCTCTGTTCGAAATATGCTCAGTTGGTTTGCGTGACTCTGTGTTTTGCAATTATCAAAGTAATTAAAATGGCGGCGAGCAAAAATTGAAAACCAAACGCGAAATAGGTAAGTAAAGTGCGCTCTCTCTCTCTCTCTCTCAGTTTTTCTTGCTCTCAGTTGTTGAGCTACGAAAAGCTTAATACGTGACCGGCTCCCTTTGCTCGTTAAAGAGCTTATTAAGTTTATTAACAGTTTTGATTATCATGGCTTAAATGCCGGCAAAGTCCATTAGATATCAAATAATCTGTCTGTTGATTGCTATATTATTATTATTATTATTATTAGGGGGAAAGCTGCACCGTGACCTATTTGATCTATTGTGCCCCCTTCTGAGCTTATAGCTCTTCCATCAGCCCCAACTCCCGCACGAATGCGAGGATCTTTGTTGGGTTGAGGTCTTCTATGTCTTTGCACTTCAAAACGTGCGCCCCTAGGAGGCTGCTTCTTCTTCTAGCTAAGGCGACACACTCTGCCAGGATGTGCATCGAGGATTCCTCCTCTCTTTCACAAAACCTGCACAGGTCGCTACTATATATACCCAGTTTTGCTATGTGACTCCTTAGTCTACTGTGTCCTGTCAATAGACCGGTAAGTATCCTAAGGTTGTTCTTTCCCATGGTTATAATTTGTTTAAATCGTACAAGATTATAACCACCTAGGAGACATCTGGCTTGTCGGAGTCCCACTGCCTCCGACCAGCTCTCAATATATTACTATATATGCTATAATAACACCTTATAGATGTTTTTGGTTTATAAAAGCAAAAAGAGTCAAATTTTAATTTGTAACAGATATTAACTTAACCTTTGTGTTTATTTGATTTTTGATTAGAGCGCGCTCTGTTCGCCGATCTGGATGATGGCTATGCCATTAACCATGAGTACATGTCCCACGAGGATCTCTACAATTCCGCTGTGAAAAAGATTGCTGAGGCGACACCAAAGCTGAAGGCGCTGCAACACAAAATGAACCCTGGCAAGGACATTTGGCCGTAAGTTGCTTGTTTATTGTGCCGCTGCGTGATGCGGACACGCATATGCCACTGCCGGGCGTAGATGTTGGCGAGGTTGGCAAGAAACTGGCCATGGCCGTTGTCAATCAGGGCTTTCTTGGCCTGAAGAACGTTCGCATTCCACGCACCAACAAGCTGATAAAGTATGCCAAAGTGGATCGTGATGGCATATTCACCGCCAGTCCAGCCTCGAGGGTCAACTATCTGACCATGGTCTACACACGTTGCCTGATTGTCAATTTGAATTCGGCGTTGCTGCTGCAGGCAGCCACAATTGCCACACGCTACTCCGCCGTGCGTCGCCAGAGTCCCATTGAACCCAAGTGAGTATCCTTAAATATACACACACTTGGATCATCATCTCTAATTCTCTCTCTCTCTCTCTCTGAAGGTCCTCTGCACCACTGATGGCTGATGGCATTGAACAACTGCGTCTCTCCACTGGCGGCCATGGCAATCACATTGTCGCCAATCTGAGCAACATCTATGGCAATGCAGTAGCCGCCTACACCTACGAGAGTGAGAATTCGGTTCTTCTGCTCCAGATTGGACGCGCCCTGGTCAAAGCCTGGGCCAGCTACAAGCAAGCTGAAACGCTCTCCTCTTCGTATGCCTATTTTGAGACTTCGATGCGCCTCAAGGAGTTCCCCAAGTGGGACAACTCCTGGCAGTGCATTGTCAGGGCGTTGCAGTACACGGCTGCCCAGTAAGTGGATTGCCCAGATTGTCCAGTGAGAAACTGATTAACATTTGATTACTTTTGACTTTTGAATGCAGCAAGACCCGCATTGCCTTTGAGAATTTGTCGCAGCTCATTGCTGCTGGCCAGTCCCAAGCTGTGGCAGCCAACAACACGGGCATTGAGCTAACGCGGGACGCCGAGGTAAGTTCCAGTTGCAATTACTGCCTTCTGTAGAAAGGGTATAATGGTTTTGTGCAAATGTATGTAACAGGCGAGATGAAGCATCACCGAGCCCATAAAGTATATACAGTCGTGTCGATATAGCCATGTCCATCCGTCCGTCTGAATGAACACGCAGATCTGAGAGACTCAGAACTAGAGACTTCAAATTTGAAATATAGGTTCTCGTATACCAGGCGCAGATCAAGTTTGCTTTAGTTTTATCGATAACTTTTATTATAACTTGGGGTTTATATTTATTGAGAGCTTTGTATTTAATACAGAATACGAGTATATGTCCGCTTCATGCGACTTCTACTACGCGATTCAAGCGACCAAAAGCGACTGACTCTTACTGCATGAAAGTAGCTTAAACATACCATCGAAGAAGGTCTTGATCATAAGGAACTTACAATTACCGTTGCTCGCAGGCAACAACAGATTAAGACTACAAAACGGGAATGCAAGACAAGCTGCGGTGTACATAGGCAAATACAGTTATCTCCAACATTTTTTAATGTAAATGAATTTTAACTTTATTTTTTGCATCCCTAAGGCAAATGAAAAAAATCCTATATTGATGTATCCTAAATATTGATGAATAAAAAATTGTTCAAAATGCATCGAAAAGGTTGTTGCAATATTTAAATGAATTATTCAATACACACTTCAACACAACATTAAAATGCACTCTTCGACACTATTAAAAGCACTGTAAGCTTTTGCCCACAACCTACCTCAATTGAGCTTTTTCCGATTCCTATACATATGTCTTTATACAAGTATGCAAGCACTTGTATGCTTATGTTTGTGTTTATATTAAAAGCTTTAAAGCACAAAACACAATTCTGCGACACTCTTCTCGGGCAAAGCACGGAATATATTGACAATGAGTCCCAACATGCTATACAATGTTGTTAAATATCAGCGATTTTCAACGAGACCTCAGTCGTGAGCAGCAGCTAGCGCTGAGTGGTTGCAGAAAAAGTATCTGTTGAAAATGTTGTCGAAGAGCATAATTCCCAGCACAGTAAATGCTGATCTGCAAAAGGAACGCGATGGGGCCAGTTTTAATAGCGAAGAGTTTGCTGCCTGGTGGGCGGGTGGCCCAGAGCAACTGAAGTTTAAGAGAAGCGTCAGTAAGTTAATTAAAATAAGAGTAATTTTCGCTTTTTATCTTCGTACACTGAACTTGTTTTGAACCGTGCAGGTAAAAACATTGAAAAAAATTTAATCTTGTTTCTATTATTATTCACAGCTGATAACAATTAAGTATAAAACAGCTTAAAAATAATCACCAGGATTATATCAGATATTTGGGCAAAAATGCAAACAAATATTTATAATCGAAAGAAAATATGTGACATACCATTTTATTTCTCTGTGTTTTATAGAAGAGTATATGTACAAGGACATCAATTTGGATGAACGCGCCAATTTCCATTATTTATCGCATGAGGATATTTGCGAATTCGCCATGAAGAGCAGCATCAATGTGGCGAAAAAGCTGCGTCAGCTTCAAGCTGAACGTAATCCCGGCGGCAGCGAATACTGGCCGTGAGTAAAAGTAAATATTGAAGAGAAGAGTAATTCTCTCTTACATAGTAATCTCTGTTGACGCCAGCACTCTCTACGAAGAGCCGGAGCTAGCGGGTCTGCATTTGGCTGGCAATCCCTTTGGCGTGATGTGTTTAATGGTGGTGAAAGCTCTCAAGGCCCAGTGCACAGCCGAGCAGTACGAGGAGTTTGGAAAGCGACTGGAACAATTCGAAGTGTGTGCCGCCTATGCGCAAACCGAACTGGGACATGGCACCTATCTGCGCGGCCTGGAGACCCGTGCCGATTTCGATCGTGACACGGATGAGTTTGTGCTGAATACACCAACCATTTCAGCCTACAAGTGGTGGCCCGGCGGCTGTAAGTAGCAGTTAAATATTATATCATTCACAGTATACACTCAGAGAAAAATCGGCCCAAAAATTGTAGTCAATCACCATTTAGGGACTTGGCACTGGCTGGTCACCATAGAAAGTGAATTTCCAAATTTTTCTACAACTTCCACAAAATATGTATAATTTCCAGGATGTTTCCGGTTTTCTATCTATGTACTTTGATCAATTATTATATTAGCATTTTGCATTTTATCAATCATTTTATTCATTCAATATATAAGCTGAGCCAGTATATTTCCTTACTTGTTTCTGTATTTTCGAAAGTATATTTTCTAAAATTAACGTTTGCATTTCTCCTTTTTAGAAATGTTTTTCTTAAGAACGGAAAATATTTGTAAGGAATCGAAAAGGATCGCGGTTTTTTTCATTGACTGTAGATTTGTACATTTTAGAAATTTATTTTCATAATATTTTGAAATGATTTGTAAAACATATTGATTTGATTATTGCAGTGGGTCACAGCGCCAACTATAGCCTAGTCATGGCGCAGCTGTACATCGATAACCAGTTGAAGGGACCGCACTTGTTCTACGTGCAGGTGCGCGAGGAGGAAACACACGAACCGAGGCCGGGGGTGCACATTGGCGAGATTGGCAAGAAGATGGACTTCCTTGGCGTTAACAATGGCTTCCTGGGCATGAAGGATGTCCGCATTCCACGCAATCGCCTGCTGATGCGCCACGTGCAGGTGCATCGTGACGGGACTTACGTGAAGAGCCCGGTGGATGTTCTGACCTACTTTGCCATGGTCTCCTCGCGCTGTCTCATTGCCCGGATTGCATATGTGGCTCTGGCCGTAACTGCAACCATTGCCACTCGTTATTCCGCTGTGCGGCGTCAGAGTCCCATCGATCCCAAGTAATGCATTCCATAATTCATATGTTGTTCATTTTATATCTAATCTTTTGCGCAGATTACCGGAGGTACAGATCATAGATCATGTGACTCAGCAGCTGAAAGTGTTTCCCGAGATAGCCACCAGCATGGCCCATCGTCTGTGCTTCGACTACCTCTGGGATCTGTTCAATGTCACCTCCAAGGACATAGACCAAGGCAGATATGAGCGTCTGCCCGAGCTGCACGCGCTCTCGTGTGCCTTAAAGGTCCTTTCTTCGACTGATGCCACCAGGGGAACCGAGCGGCTGCGTCTGGCATGTGGCGGTCATGGTTATCTCACCTCATCCAATCTGGGCAATATTTATGCCAATATCTCAGCCTCCAGTACTTATGAGGGTGAGAATACGGTGCTCCTGTTGCAGATTGGTCGTTTCCTGATCAAATCTTGGCGCGCTGCTCAAAAAGGAGATCCTCTACCGCCCACCGCCAGATATTTGGCTGAGGTGCAACGAAATCCCGAATTTGGAGCATGGACAGGCAGTTGGGAGAATATGACGAAGGCCATGCAGTTTGCCGCTGCCAAGTGAGTTGCCGAATAGGTTGCCTCTATCCTAAAGGATAACATGTAATGGATATCAATTCTATTTCACAGCAAGACGCGCCTGGCATTCCAGAGCCTTTCCAAGCGTCTGGACAAGGGCGAATCCGAGGAGGTTGCCGCAAGCCACACTGGAATTGAACTTACCCAAGCCGCTGAGGTACCAACCAATACCCAATTCTTAACATGCTCAATTTTGCTGAATATTTGTTGCTCTTATAGCTTCATGGACGTGCCTTTATATTCCACTGCTTCATCACTGAGATAACCGGACCAAAGTCCAAGACACGCTCGCCGTCGCTGAATCGTGTCTTGGAGCAGCTGCTGGAACTGTATCTGGTCAATGTGACATTGAACAACATGAGCGACATTCTTCGGGTGAGTCTGCCATGGAATTCAATGCAACACTCTGAAAAACGTCGCCCTTCATTTTAGAAATTCACTCACCTTATTATTCAGAAAGTATATTTCCAAAATTGAATTTTGTGTCTTTTGTTTGTGGTACTTAGAAGAATTCTTCTTAAATTACCCTTTTTATTAGATTAATTTCTTACGATTTTTAGAAATTAGAAGAAACACTTTCTAATTTCCATGGCGAATTTCTACATTTCAGAGCGATAATTTTTCTGAGTTTATATTCTGCTTATGTATTTGTATTACATTTTAAAACATTCCTCAGGTTGTCAGTTTGACGGACGGTGATCTGAGCAAGCTGCAGACACGTTTGGAGACTGCGCTGACCAAGCTCCGACCAGATGCGGTGGCGATCGTTGATGGCTTTGATTTCATCGACGGGCAATTGAATTCCACTTTGGGGTCCTTTGATGGCAATGCCCTCGAACGCATTTTCGATGCTGCTCTAAAGGCGCCCATGAACCAGAAATCGGTTCCAAAGAGTTTCCACGAGTACCTGGGACCATTTATGAAATCCAACCTCTGAAACGTACCCTGAACCGTAAATATCGTTGATGGTCATCAAAGTCTAATCTGTTAATTTTTTTATACTAGAGTATATTATATATATATATACTGGGTTTTCATATGTAAAGTAAAGTACTGGCAATTTTATAAATATATTCCCCGTTTATTATAAATCTTAAGAGTGATGTTGATCTTAATGTTACTTCAATTGTTATCTAAATTAATCTCGTAAGTTAAGCGATTAATAAAAGCGAGAGTAAAACAAATCAGCTCTTAATATTTATGGTCTTTATTTAAAACTCTTCGCATGCTTTCTCATGATCTGCAGAAAGGTCGCTTAGCGTCCACTTTCGATGTGGAGGAGTTCGCTGCTTGGTGGCAGGGCGGCGAGCAAAATTGAAAACTAAGCGCGAAATAGGTAAATAAATTGCGCTCTCTCTCTCTCTCTCTCTCTCAGTTTTTCTTGCTCTCAGTTGTTGAGCTACGAAAAGCTTAATACGTGACCGGCTCCCTTTGCTCGTTAAAGAGCTTGTTAAATTTGTTAACAGTTTCGATTATCATGGCTGAAATGCCGGCAAATTCCATTAGATTGCCTACATTATCTAGAGAGAGATTGATTAACATTTGATTTTTTTTTTGTTTTGTGCAAATGTATGTAACAGGCGAGATGAAGCATCACCGAGACCATAAAATATATATATTCTTGATCAGGGTCAACAGCCGAGTCGATGAAAAAATCCTATATTGATGTATCCTAAATGTTGGAAATAACTGTATTTGCCTATGTACACCGCAGCTTGTCTTGCATTCCCGTTTTGTAGTCTTAATCTGTTGTTGCCTGCGAGCAACGGTAATTGTAAGTTCCTTATGATCAAGACCTTCTTCGATGGTATGTTTAAGCTACTTTCATGAAGTAAGAGTCAGTCGCTTTTGGTCGCTTGAATCGCGTAGTAGAAGTCGCATGAAGTGGACATATATTCTCTATTAAATAAAAAGCTCTGAATAAATATAAGTCCCAAGTTATAATAGGTTATGGGCCCAGAACACGGAAAATTCAGCTCGTAGAAAACACAGTGAATTGTTCTGAGGATTTCTTGTAGAAGGTGAATGAGAGCATTCTGGACTTTCTTGGACAAGTGTGACAAGTGTGTGGTTAAAGAAAATGAATACCTCGATGAGTTCGATCGAGAAGTTGGAGGACCAGAATTATAGTGCCTGGGTTGTTCAAATGAAAAGCGTACTCGTGTATTTAGAGCTATGGCAGTATGTGTGCTGAGCAGTGGCACTGCTGAGCAAAAGGCAATATTTGATGCAAGAGACGAAACGGCTTTGGCAAGCATAATGCTTTGCATAAAGGCATCCCAAATAAATAATGTGAAGAATTGCCAAAATCAGCAAGTGCCTGAAAGACCCTGAAAGAAATGCATATGCATATGGGACCTCCGCGTCGTGTAACTTTGCTAAAGCAGTTGTTGCAGCTAAGATTGGTAAAGTCGGGTAGTATGGCAGAGCACATACATAAGTTTGCAGACTTAGTGGAAAGACTAAGCGAGATCGACCATATAATGGTCGAAGAGTGTTTGTCTATATTGTTGTTGTCGAGTTTGTCGGATGGATACGGTAATTTCGTGATCGCCATGGAAACTTGTGACACGTTGCCGTCGCTAAGTGTGATAAAAATCAAGTTACTCGAAGAGAGTGAACGGCGTTGAGCAGACGGAAAGACAGAGTCAAACGGAGAGACAAAAATGTTCTCGACGCATATAGACAATCGAGCAAACAGGAATACAGACGAAAGTAACGGTAAAGTGAATCGTAGAAGTGCGCAGCAGAAAAAGGCACCACAGGCCGGCTGCTGGACATGTGGTCGTCGTGGGCACATTGCTGCGAATTGTCGCGCAAAAGACTGCTCCGAAAAAGAGCAAGGCAAGAAAAATAAGGATAGTAAGAAATCGTACTAAGTGTTTGCAGCGGCAAGAAACCCAAGTATTGGTGGTTTTGCAAAGAACACGTGGTGTCTAGACAGTGGGGCCACAGCGCATTTGATCGTGCTTTATAGAATTAAGAGAGCACAAAGAGAAAATTATTTTAGCTGGAAATAATTATATACAGGCATATGGCCGTGCACGCCTTAAGTGGAAAAATAACACTATTGATTTGACCGATACATTATATGTGAAAGAGCTTCAATGTAACATTGTGTCAGTATCGAAAGTAGTCCAAAAGGGATTCAGTGTTAAATTTGAAGTGCGATGTGATCTCAGTTGCTAAGGAGCAGCAAAACTTATATTTGTTCTACACAGATGAGCAAAAGGTTTTCAGCGCGCAAGCTAATTTAATAGAAATACTGAAGTGGCACAAGCGGCTTGGTCATTTAAATTTTTTCAGCCTGAATAAAATGATAAGTGGACAAACTGCGCTGAGAAGGAGTGTTGCAAATAACTGTATTTGCCTATGTACACCGCAGCTTGTCTTGCATTCCCGTTTTGTTGTTGCCTGCGAGCAACGGTAATTGTAAGTTCCTTATGATCAAGACCTTCTTCGATGGTATGTTTAAGCTACTTTCATGAAGTAAGAGTCAGTCGCTTTTGGTCGCTTGAATCGCGTAGTTGAAGTCGCATGAAGCGGACATATATTCTGTATTAAATACAAAGCTCTCAATAAATATAAGCCCCAAGTTAGAATACTAAATACTGATGCATAAAAAATTGTTCAAAATGCATCGAAAAGGTTGTTGCAAAATTGAAATGAATTATTCAATACACACTTCAACACAACGTTAAAATGCACTCTTTGACACTTTTAAAAGCACTGGGCTTTTGCTACATCTGTCTTTATAAAAAGCTTTAATGCACAAAACACAATTCTGTGACACTGTTCTCGGGCAAAGCACGGATTATATTGACAATGAGTCCCAGCTTACTATATAATATTGTTATATCAGCGATTTTCAACGAGACCTCAGTCGTGAGCAGCAGCTAGCGCTGAGTGGTTGCAGAAAAAGTATCTGTTGAAAATGTTGTCGAAGAGCATAATTCCCAGCACAGTAAATGCTGATCTGCAAAAGGAACGCGATGGGGCCAGTTTTAATAGCGAAGAATTTGCTGCCTGGTGGGCGGGTGGCCCAGAGCAACTGAAGTTTAAGAGAAGCGTCAGTAAGTTGATTAAAATAAGAGTAATTTTTGCTTTTTATCTTCGTACACTAAACTTGCTTTGAACCATGCAGGGAAAAATGTCATTGTAAAAAATGTAATTATTATTCACAGCTGATAGCAATTATGTATAAAACAGCTTACAAATAATCACCAGGATTGTATCAGATATTTTTGTGCAAAAATGCAAACAAATATTTAGCTATCTTTAATTTCTAATTGCACTGATTAACAATTATAATCGAAAGAAAATATATGACAAATTGCGACTAATGCTGACTCGGCACTTTTCCCTTTTCTTTCTCTGTGTTTTATAGAAGAGTATATGTACAAGGACATCAATTTGGATGAACGCGCCAATTTCCATTATTTATCGCATGAGGATATTTGCGAATTCGCCGTGAAGAACAGCATCAATGTGGCGAAAAAGCTGCGCCAGCTTCAAGCTGAACGTAATCCCGGCGGCAGCGAATACTGGCCGTGAGTAAAAGTAAATATTAAAGAGAAGAGTAATTCTCTCTTACATAGTAATCTCTGTTGACGCCAGCACTCTCTACGAAGAGCCGGAGCTAGCGGGTCTGCATTTGGCTGGCAATCCCTTTGGCGTGATGTATTTGGTGGTGGTGAAAGCTCTCAAGGCCCAGTGCACAGCCGAGCAGTACGAGGAGTTTGGAAAGCGACTGGAACAATTCGAAGTGTGTGCCGCCTATGCGCAAACCGAACTGGGACATGGCACCTATCTGCGCGGCCTGGAGACCCGTGCCGATTTCGATCGTGACACGGATGAGTTTGTGCTGAATACACCAACCATTTCAGCCTACAAGTGGTGGCCCGGCGGCTGTAAGTAGTATACACTCAGAGAAAAATCGGCCCAAAATTTGTAGTGAATCTCCATTTAGGCACCTGGCACTGGCTGGTCACCATAGAAAGTGAATTTCTATCTTTTTTCTACAACTTCCACAAAATATATCTAATTTCCAGGATGTTTCCTGTTTTCTATCTGTGTACTTTGATCAATTATTATATTAGCATTTTGCATTTTATCAATCATTTTATTCATTCAATATATAAGCTGAGCCAGCATATTTCCTTACTTGTTTCTGTATTTTCTAAAATTCACGTTTGCATTTCTACTTTTTAGAAATGTTTTTCTTAAGAACAGAAATTATTTGTAAGGAATCGAAAAGGATCGCGGTTTTTTTTATTGATTGTCGATTTATAAATTTATTTTCATAATATTTAGAAATGATTTGTAAAACATATTGATATGATTATTGCAGTGGGTCACAGCGCCAACTATAGCCTGGTCATGGCGCAGCTGTACATCGATAACCAGTTGAAGGGACCGCACTTGTTCTACGTGCAGGTGCGCGAGGAGGGAACACACGAACCGAGGCCGGGGGTGCACATTGGCGAGATTGGCAAGAAGATGGGCTTCCTTGGCGTTAACAATGGCTTCCTGGGCATGAAGGATGTCCGCATTCCACGCAATCGCCTGCTGATGCGTCACGTGCAGGTGCATCGTGACGGGACCTACGTGAAGAGTCCGGTGGATGTTCTGACCTACTTTGCCATGGTCTCCACGCGCTGCCTCATTGTCCGGATTATTTATGTGGCTCTGGCCGCAACTGCCACCATTGCCACTCGTTATTCCGCTGTGCGTCGCCAGAGTCCCATCGATCCCACGTAATGCATTCCATAATTCAAATGTTGTTCATTTTATATCTAATCTTTTGCGCAGATTACCGGAGGTACAGATCATAGATCATGTGACTCAGCAGCTGAAAGTGTTTCCCGAGATAGCCACCAGCATGGCCCATCGTCTGTGCTTCGACTACCTCTGGGATCTGTTCAATGTCACCTCCAAGGACATAGACCAAGGCAGATATGAGCGTCTGCCCGAGCTGCACGCGCTCTCGTGTGCCTTGAAGGTCATTTCTTCGACTGATGCCACCAGGGGAACCGAGCGGCTGCGTCTGGCATGTGGCGGTCATGGTTATCTCACCTCATCCAATCTGGGCAATATTTATGCCCATATGTCAGCCTCCTGTACCTATGAGGGTGAGAATACGGTGCTCCTGTTGCAGATTGGTCGTTTCCTGATCAAATCTTGGCGCGCTGCTCAAAAAGGAGATCCTCTACCGCCCACCGCCAGATATTTGGCTGAGGTGCAACGAAATCCCGAATTTGGAGCATGGACAGGCAGTTGGGAGAATATGACGAAGGCCATGCAGTTTGCCGCTGCCAAGTGAGTTGCCGAATAGGTTGCCTCTATCCTAAAGGATAACATGTAATGGATATCAATTCTATTTCACAGCAAGACGCGCCTGGCATTCCAGAGCCTCTCCAAGCGTCTGGACAAGGGCGAATCCGAGGAGGTTGCCGCAAGCCACACTGGAATTGAACTTACCCAGGCCGCTGAGGTACTAACCAATACCCAATTCTTAACATGCTCAATTGTTCTAAATATTTGTTCCTCTTATAGCTTCATGGACGTGCCTTTATATTCCACTGCTTCATCACTGAGATAACCGGACCAAAGTCCAAGACACGCTCGCCGTCGCTGAATCGTGTCTTGGAGCAGCTGCTGGAACTGTATCTGGTCAATATGACATTGAACAACATGAGCGACATTCTCCGGGTGAGTCTGGCATGGAATTCAATGCAACACTATGAAAAACGTCGCCCTTCATTTTAGAAATTCACTCACCTTATTATTCAGAAAGTATATTTATTTAATTTTGTGTATTTTGTTTGTGGTATTTAAGAGAATTCTTCTTAAATGTCCCTTTTTGTTAGATTAATTTCTTACGATTTTTAGAAATTAGTTCTAAAAAGAAGAAACACTTTCTAATTTCCATGGCGAATTTCTAAATTTCAGAGCGACAATTTTTCTGAGTTTATATTCTGCTTATGTATTTGTATTACATTTTAAAACATTCCTCAGGTTGTCAGTTTGACGGACGGTGATCTGAGCAAGCTGCAGACACGTTTGGAGACTGCGCTGACCAAGCTCCGACCAGATGCGGTGGCCATCGTTGATGGCTTTGATTTCATCGACGGGCAATTGAATTCCACTTTGGGGTCCTTTGATGGCAATGCCCCCGAGCGCATTTTCGATGCAGCCCTAAAGGCGCCCATGAACCAGAAATCGGTTCCAAAGAGTTTCCACGAGTACCTGGGACCATTTATGAAATCCAACCTCTGAAACGTACCCTGAACCGTAAATATCGTTGATAGCCATCAAAGTCTAATCTGTTAATTTTTTTATACTAAAGTATATTATATATATATATATATACTGGGTTTTCATATGTAAAGTAAAGTACTGGCAATTTCATAAATATATTCCCCGTTTATTATACATTTTAAGAGTGATGGTGATCTTAATGTTACTTCAATTATCTTAATCAATCTCGTAAGATAAGCGATTAATAAAAGCGAGAGTAAACCAAACCAGCTGTTAATATTTATGGTCTTTATTTAAAGCTCTTCGATTGCGTTCTCTTTGACGTTCGCTCAGCATGGACAAAGAGAGTGAAACTTTATCAGCTTGTTTGGAGTGAGGCGAGAGAGCAATTCAGATGTTTTGCACTTTGCACCGAAAGCTCTTTACTTCGTGGACGCTCTGTTCGAAATATGCTCAGTTGGCTTGCGTGACTCTGAGTGACAACGTCGATCGGCTTTCACCTGTGTTTTGCAATTATCGAAGTAATTGAAATGTCGATGACTAAGAGTTTTATACCTAAAACTATAAATCATGATCTGCAGAAAGAGCGCTTAGCTTCCACTTTTGATGTGGAGGAGTTTGCTGCTTGGTGGCAGGGCGGCGAGCAAAAATTGAAAACCAAACGCGAAATAGGTAAGTAAATTGCGCTCTCTCTCTCTCTCTCAGTTTTTCTTGCTCTCAGTTGTTGAGCTACGAAAAGCTTAATACGTGACCGGCTCCCTTTGCTGGTTAAAGAGCTTGTTAAGTTTGTTAACAGTTTCGATTATCATGGTTGAAATGCCGGCAAAGTCCATTAGATATCAAATAATCTGTCTGTTGATTGCTATAATAACACCTTATAAATGTCTTTGGTTTATAAAAGTAAAAATAGTCCAGTGCAGGTTGTTTTTTATTATCAGCGTGAATTGTGCTTACTCATTCAACACAATCCAAAGTGTAAAAGGCCAAACTAAATCAAACTTTGCATTATTATTATTTTCTCTTCCATTATTAAAAACAATATTAAATTTGTAACAGATATTAATTTATGTGCGTCTATTTGACTTTTGATTAGAGCGCGCTCTGTTCGCCGATCTGGATGATGGCTATGGCATTAACCATGAGTACATGTCCCACGAGGATCTCTACAATTCCGCTGTGAAAAAGGTTGCTGAGGCGACACCCAAGCTGAAGGCGCTGCAACAGAAAATGAACCCTGGTGGCAAGGACATTTGGCCGTAAGTTGCTCGAGACTTTTAAATACCCTATTCATATTAGAGTTATTGTTATATTCTGCTCTCATCCACAGTGGCGGCCTGCTCTCAGTGCATGCTCATGGCCTGTTTCCCGAGAACCATCCGCTTGCCACGCACATTTCCATGTTTGTGGACGTGGTCAAGGGTCAGGGCACTCCCGAGCAGGTGGAGAAGTGGGGCAAGCTGGCCGAGAACTGCAACATAATTGGCACCTATGCACAGACCGAACTGGCCCACGGCACCAATGTGCGAGGCATCGAAACGCGCGCCGACTACGACATTAGAGCTGGTGAATTTGTCCTCAACACGCCCAACCTGGAAGCCTACAAATGGTGGCCCGGCGGCAGTAAGTGGCTCAACAACAAATGCGTATATATATATATATATATATATTTATAGATAATCCATATTAATGTCACACCACTTTCCACTTTACAGTGGGTCACACGGCCAACCATGCAATGGTCGTCGCCCAGCTCTACATCTCCGGCAAGCACAAGGGCATCCAAATGTTTATTGTGCCGCTGCGTGATGCGGACACGCATATGCCGCTGCCGGGCGTAGATGTTGGCGAGGTTGGCAAGAAACTGGGCATGGCCGCTGTCAATCTGGGCTTTCTTGGCCTGAAGAACGTTCGCATTCCACGCACCAACATGCTGATGAAGTATGCCAAAGTGGATCGTGATGGCACATTCACCGCCAGTCCAGCCTCGAGGGTCAACTATCTGACCATGGTCTACACACGTTGCCTGATTGTCAATTTGAATTCGACGCTGCTGCTGCAGGCAGCCACAATTGCCACACGCTACTCCGCAGTGCGTCGCCAGAGTCCCATTGAACCCAAGTGAGTATCCTTAAATATACACACACTTGGATCATCATATCTAATTCTATCTCTCACTCTCTCGCTCTGTCTCTTATTGACTGCACACAGTGAGCCGGAGCCGCAGATCATTGATCATGTGACGCAGCGCTTGAAGCTGTTCCCGGAGATCGCCACTGGAATGGCCTATCATTTGGCAGCCGAGCACATGTGGGAGCTGTACAATCAGACCGTTCTGGATGCCAATAATGGTAAATTTGATCGGTTGCCCGACATGCATATCCTGTCTTGTGCCTTGAAGGTCCTCTGCACCACTGATGGCTGTGCGGGCATTGAACGACTGCGTCTCTCCACCGGCGGACATGGCTATCACATTGCCGCCAATCTGAGCAACATCTACGGCAATGCAGTCGCCGCCTACACCTACGAGGGTGAGAATACGGTTCTCCTGCTCCAGATTGGACGCGCCCTGGTCAAAGCCTGGGCCAGCTACAAGCAGGCTGAAACGCCCTCCTCTTCGTATGCCTATTTTGAGACTTCGATGCGCCTCAAGGAGTTCCCCAAGTGGGACAACTCCTGGCAGTGCATTGTCAGGGCGTTGCAGTACACGGCTGCCCAGTAAGTGGATTACCCAGATTGTCCAGTGAGAAACTGATTAACATTTGATTACTTTTGACTTTTGAATGCAGCAAGACCCGCATTGCCTTTGAGAATTTGTCGCAGCGCATTGCTGCTGGCCAGTCCCAAGCTGTGGCAGCCAACAACACGGGCATTGAGCTAACGCGGGCCGCCGAGGTAAGTTCCAGTTGCACTTACTGCCTTCTATTTATACCCTGAACCCATTAGAAATGAGCAGAAAGGGTATAATGGTTTTGTGCAAATGTATGTAACAGGCGAAATGAAGCATCACCGAGCCCATAAAGTATATATATTCTTGATCAGGGTCAACAGCCAAGTCGATATAGCCAAGTCCGTCCGTCCGTCTGAATGAACACGCAGATCTCAGAGACTATAAGAACTAGAGACTTCAAATTTTGAATATAGATTCTCGTACACCACGCGCAGATCAAGTTTGCTTTATTTTTTATCGATAACTGCCTCCGTTTCTCGATTATCGATACATCGATCGATACGTTTCTCGATTATACATACATATGTTTGTTGCCAGTCAGGTAGGATCAGTTCGGGCTTGTGAATAAAAACATGCGCTGCTCGTTCTTTTTTACTCTTCAGTGCCTGAGCTTGCTACAAGAAATGAGTGCACTTTGCAGACCTGCTCACATTTGGGCGCAAAACTTGCCAATAGTTTTAGAATATATTTAACAACTGTGTTCATGGTAAATCGTAGTCGAGCTCACTCGACTACAGCACTCTTATTTGTTTTTATCTAAACGTTGATTTACTAACGAGTACCAAGACTGAAGTTTTAATAGAACAAAATTACTACTCATTGTGGGATCATTACAAATGGAGCATATTATTCGAAATCGGGTATGGCTAGGACAGCTCATATTATATATATTTATATATATTTCATTTAGTCCTAATCGGAACTGCAAAACTAACTTGGCTGATTAAGAATAACAGAAATATAAGAAAGATTTATTTTAAAAAGTCAACTACGATAAGTAGATAAGCTTTTATTAGTATTCCAGCTGAAACCCAAAACGGCAGTTAAATATTCTATTTAATTTTCAATTGTAATTGGGATACCATTTACAAGATCCATATTCAGGAACAGAACTCATGTAAGTGGATGAAATCCAGGACACCAAATTAGTTTGCTCAATTGATGGCAGAAGGAATATTGCTTGTCAAACTTAAGCTTAGGATCTAAAAGTAGAATATAGTTTAATAAATAATTTACAACAATAATTCACATTTACCTCAATTAAGATATAAAAAATTACTCAAGATCAGTTTCAAAGCTTTGACCAGAAAGAGAGTTAGTCGACGACAGGCAAATGAGTGCATTAAATAAGTTTAATTCATATGAATCACATTTTCTAGCTGCATGGTCGCCAATTTGTGTGCCAAACGTTCGTGGAGCAAATCACTGGGCCCAAAGCACAACAGCGTTCGGCGGCTTTGAACAGCGCCTTGGAAAATGTGGTGGAACTGTTCTTGGTGCAGACGGTGCTCAATAATTTGAGTGACATCTTGAGAGTAAGGCTTACAAATCATCCCCAATGAAATTTCATTTAAAATGTCATGTTTTTTTTTTGCATTTTTAGTTCATCAATCTGACCGATGCTGATCTCAGATCTCTGCAGCAACGCTTGGAGCTGTCCCTGGAGAAATTCCGTCCAAATGCTGTCGCCATCTGTGATGGCTTCGATTTCCACGATCGTGTTCTCAACTCAGTGCTGGGCAGCTACGATGGCAATGTCTATCCACGACTATTCGATGCGGCCAAGCGCAGCACGATGAACCAGCGACCAGTGCAGAAGTCATTTGAAACCTATCTGAAGCCGCTGATGAAGGCTAGTTTGTAAGGTGTGCAATATTAAAATTTTTGTATACGAAACTGTAAAGTCTTTTTACCATTATTATGCATTGGAACCTGTACTTAATCAAAGTAATAAAAAAGAGCATTTTTTTCTGTATATTAGATTTGATATTGCGTAATTTATGAAAATGTTCCAGACTCGATGGATTATAGCTTCACCCGTTTAACAACGTTTAACAAAGGATTGTTTTTCTATTGCTTTGCCCAGAAATAATCACATTAATCGATTTGTTTAAATTAGTTTTATACCGTTTTTATTTAGCAAATCAAAACCAATTTCTCAGTACATTCAGCGCATTTAAAAAACTAACAAACTAAACGCTTACATAATAGCAATAAAAAAAAAAAACACATCATGTAAACTTTTTGAAAACGAAATGTACTCGATTGAGATAGGGAGTTAAACAAATTTAGTACATCTACGAGTACATACATATATATCAAAAAGTTGCAGTTGCGATTTTTACAGTGTAGAAAAAGTTGGTATTCGTATTCAGAATGCATTCAGTTGTTTGTTTTTGTTTTTCCTTGTTATTTGTTAAGTGTGTGAGTAAGTGCATGTGTGTGTGTGTATGTGTGTGTGTGTGAGTGTAGGTGTTGGTGTATGTGTGTGTGTGTGTGTGTGTGTACATTGATATTGCTTATGACAAGAGTTCGAATTTTTTTGTTGTTTTTGTTTAAACATTTCTATGCTGTGTCTGCTTGTATTATGCATGTATTTTTTTGTTATATATTTTAGTTACATATTAATTAATTATATTTGCATTATACTTTATAATTACACACACAATTGATTTAGTTGGCTTAATTTTATGCTATTATTATTATAATTATTATTATAACTTTCTTTTCATAATGAAAATATGGCATATGAGCGTTAAAAATGAAAGTTTTCTGGTTTTTGATTAACATTTAAACAAATATTGCAAGTAAACTGGTTGCGAATGTGTTTGTGTGTCTGCGTGTGTGTGTGTGTGGGTATTGGGTATAGGTTTTTAACAGTATCTTGTGTGTGTGTGTGTGTTTGATTTATTTCGAGGGTCTGTAAACTTAACAATATTAAACTTTTACTATTGCGTGTTGAGTTTTTAAATATTTGCCGCGGTTTTTGCTGTTGGTTTTGTGTTACTTGTACAAGTTATAAAAACGAGTTGGTCAAAGAGAGACAGAGCGCAATTTGAACGTAAAGCTAAATAAATGCACAATTGTTGCATGCGTTAATTTGCGTTGATTTTGATTCTTAGCCATGGAAGAGGAAGCAGTTAAAGTTACAGTTTAAGAGAAGCGCAATTAAACAATAAATTAATCGGTTAGCTGTTAGCGTAACGAAACTAAATTAAAATTATACAAATTGATTTTCTTTGTATTTCTCTGCTGTTTTAATATTAATAAATATTTCTCGTTACTGTTGTGGTTTGTTTTTATTTTATTTTGTTTTCTTTTTATTTTTGTAGAAAATAGTAGAAATTTCTCGTGGTTTTTGTCTAGTTGTTCTCAGTTTATATTTTCGTTTTGCCAGGAAAATGTTTTTACGCTTCGTTTTAGGTTTGTAGTTGTTTTTAATTTATTTTTTATTTTTTTTTTGCTTTTTTCTTTTTGTTTTTTTGAATTACACTAATAATTACATAGTTATGCTTATGTATAATATGTATATAAACTTAAAAACATTTATGCATCAATTCAAATTGTTCAGATGTGCCACACATTTTATTCGGTTTTTGCTTTTATTTCTTTTATTAACGTTTTTTGTTTTTTTAGTTAAGTTTTGATTGGGCTTTGTGGTAATTGGATCGCATTTCAAATTAACAAAATTTTAATGTGGTCTACAAATTGTCACCGGTTTATTTGCATTTTGTTTTTATTGAGTGACATCCAATTACATAATTGTGTTGTGTATTCAGCTAACATATGTTATAATAATATGCACTAAATATGCACGAAAAGTATTCATTCTCGTTTCTTGTTTTGTTTTGTTCTGTTTTTTTTTTCACATATATTTAGTTGTGTGTGTGTGTGTGTGTATGTATTTTATTGTTATTAATTGTTTCGCTCTACTCATTATATTCATAATTAATTTGCTTAATTTTGCCCGCCCTTATATTGGTTTTTGTTTTACTATTTATATATTTATATATATATATTTTTATATATACTATTAATTTTTGTTTTTGTTTTTTATGTTAAATTTCGCATGATTTACTTTGTTTTATATAGTATTTGATATTTTCTCGGTTTTTGTTTTTGTTTTTGTTTTGATGTTGTTGTTGTTGTTGTTGTATTACACAATTCGCTTAAAACTTACTTAATTAGAAAAGTTGGCACACACAAACACACACACAAACACATACAGTGTGTGTGTGTGTAAGTGTGTGGACACGTTTAACTTACAGGTAAGTTCGAATTTTTTCCCAATTTTTATTTTGTTTTTTTTTTTGTTTCTTTTTCTTTTTGTTTTTGTTTTTGTTTTTTTATTATTTTTGTTTGTTACCCCTCACGAATAAATTGTGTGTTTTCAAGAGTTGTTTGTTGCTGTAGCTGTTTGTGTGTTGTTAGTTGTTGTTGTAGATGTTGTTGTTGTTGTTGTTGTCGCTGTCTCCTACCACAACTGAGCAATTTCGCGCAGTGTATTTAGCTGAGTTTCTCTGTCTCCTCTTCCTTCAACCGAAATCAAACCAGTGCCAATTGCAATTGGCTGCCACGCCCATATTCTGGCTGCTACTCCCTCCCTCCCTGCTCCGGCTCAATATCAGCTTAATACCTGCGCGCTTGGCCATTATCTCAGGCGTAGAACTCACGGTTATTCGCATTTTTCGCATACGAGTTGTTGGCAGGCGAACGCTTCGGCTCGTCGAGCGCATAGGATCCTTCGTCCTTTTTCCGCATGCGATACACGATGAACATGACGACGAGTATGGCGCACAGCAGCCCAACAACGGCGCCACCGATGACAGCTATAAATTTGGGTTAAAACGAACGAATTAATTGTGGCATTTGGCTTGGGTTGGGTTGGCTTGGGTTGGCTATAGTTGCGGTCAAAATAAAATTAAAACTTTAAAATAAAATGTTCATAACTTTTCAAATATATTTTAACTAATTTATTTAACATTTTCCATTTGCTCTACTTTTATTTTGACCGCAGCAGCACATATAAAATAAGCTGATATAACTCAAATGATAAATTGCACAATTATGCCTATAAAGAAAAGTCGCCCAAAAAATTAGAAAATTTACTTATTAGTCAGAAAATAAATTTCTGCATAGGCAAGGCTGTGTTTTAGCTTGAGAAAATATATCTAAAAACCAGTGAAACTTGCTAGTTTTTAGGGCGATTTTTATTTGAAGGCGATTTTCTAAATTCAGGAATTTGATCTTGGTTCTTATTTTTGTGATTGTTGATTAATAAGTAACTCACCAGCCAATATGCCAGGCTGCGCAAAGAAACTTGTCGTGCGATCCTCCTCGCTCATGATGACCACCTCGCCGCTGTTGGCGGGCCTGTGCTCCACAATCTTTGTGTCTGTCGGCTGGCTATTGATATTGGTGTTGGGATCCAATTCGTGGACGTTACTGCTCGTGCCGCTGTTGCCACCCGCTGCAAGTAGTTAATTGTTCACATTTAATACACATACACAATTATATATGCAGGATTTGGTTGGTATCATTGTTATTGTTACGATTATGCGATGACGTGCAAGACACAAAGAGTTACGCAATACATATAACCAGTTTCCAGAGACTTCAGTCATGTGAGTGTGTGTGTGTTGGTTTGGTGTGTAAGTTTAGAGTGTTTAATGATTTGAGTGCGTGTGTGTGTGTGTGTGTGTGTGTGTGAATTATGTGTGTAGATGTGTATTAATTATATATATGCAATATGTACAAGGCTTGTTGTTGTTGCTACATTAGTTTGTTAGTTCAACTGCGCCTAGCTACGACTAAGATCCAATGGAATCAATAACAATAATAATTTCTTTTTGGCTAACTACAACTAGGTCTTGCCATTTGCTTGAATTTGTCAAATAGACAAATTTTGTGTGCCCCCCCTCTCTGAAAACAGACTAAACCTGATTTTTCACACACAACTGCAGCGCTTATGGCCACAATTTGTGGCGACCTGTTGACCCAGTTGGCAGCGTTTTAACTTGAATTTGCATATTTCAATGCAGGCAACGCAGGCCAACTTTCCAACTTTTGCACGCTCGTAAACACCTGACAAAAGAAATTTAATGGCACTTAGCAATGAAAACAAATGATTTTTAATTAATTTAATTGGCATTTGCATAACGGACGAAACAGGCACTATTTGTGTGTGTGTGTGTGTGTGTGTGTGTTTGTTTCCCTGTTGTTGTGCGCTCGTCGAGCAGCAGGTCAAAGTTTGACTGGAAATGAGCTTAAGACAAATACACAGACACACACAATACACACACATACAAACACACACGCACACAACACTCACAACACACACACACACAACACACACACACACACAACACACACACACACAGCAAACGACTAATAAATGTAAGCAAATATGTGTATATTGCTTGTTTATCCCTTGTATTGTGGATCCTTGTACTGCATTGTACACCTAACAACGCAAATACAAACAGAATGTGTATTTGTGTGCAAATATGCGAGGGTTGCCCATTGAGTTGTTTAGTTTGATTCATTGCAAGTCAGTTCAATTTATTCTAAGAAGTTAATGGAACTGCCCTAGTTGAGGTGTTGCGCGCTAATTAAATTATAATTCGCCATATTGTGAAGGATAATCTGGCATTTTCCGCATCTCAGCAGATGACAGAACTGAGTCTGAGCTTCTCTGAATATAAAACACTCTTTTCTTGTGTTGTGTACTTCACTTGAAACTAAGTAAAACTAAAGCTTTAAATATTTGATTTAGAATATGAACTGCAAGCAGCTGCTGCCTGCTGCTGCAGCTGCTGCTGCTGCTGCTGCCTGCCTGCTGTTTGTTATTTGCTGTCAACAGTGTCAATTGCAAGTCAAAGGAGTTTTGCAGGACTGTTTGGCTGTTTTTCTGATTGAAAAATGCACTTTGCACACACAGTGCACAGTGCTCAGTGCTCAGCTCCTCAGCGCATTTCTAGACATCCTTTCTTTCACAAGCTTCGATTTGAAATTGCTGCTATGACAGTTGTGCTGTGTGCTGAGCTGAGTGGGGCTGAGTACGCCAAGCTATATTGATGTGGGCGTGGTGCCCAGAGGCACTATAAAGCGTTGATTGTCAAAGGCAGGCTATAAACACAAACACACACAACGACTAAACGTCAGTGTGTCGTTTGAGCAACAGAACAACTGTGACAACTGCCTCACAACTAAGCGGGTCACACACAGCAGCCAAGGTGCCAGCCAAGGGCGTGGCACATTTTGGTTTGGGACTGTGGGCTGTGGATCGCTGGGTTGCCAGCGGCCCCAAAAAAATTCCTCAGTTTCTGTTTCAGACTCAGTTTGTGATTTTTTCATGTGAAGTGGCGCTGTGAAGTGTTTTCCACTTGATGCCGGCGCGCAGCTTTGTGAGTTGTTCCAGAAGCTCAGAGCTGCAGACTGTAAATCTAATGCTTTTCATTGTGTGTGTGTGTGAGTGGGTGTAGCTGCTGCGTGTGTGTGTGTGTGTGTGTGTGTTAATGGAAGTTTGCCACCTACAATTGCGAGCAGCAGAGTTGTGCGGCTTAAAAAGCCAGCCAAATGGCAGCCGTTGATTGAGTGGCTTTGCTGACTGCCAGACTGACAGACAGACAGACAGCGAGGCAGTCAGCCCTTTAGCCAAATCGATTGTTTGTTTGTTTTTCTTTGTGCCTCGAACTTATCAGCTCAAATGACATAGCTGTAGTCATTAATTAATCCCCAACTTTCAATTTAATGCCCAAGCCCAAAACCAAGCGAAAAGCCTTAACCCTAAAAGTGATTTGCTATACGATTTGAAAACTTAACCCGTGTCGAACACAATTAGAAAGTTTTTGCCCGTCAGCCTTAAGCAGGGATTAAAATTGAATGTTTTAGTTGAAATGAAATTGAGTTAGAAATGATGATTTGTATGATATGTTTTATGCAAATGACACACGGATATTTTGTGGGTATTTAGGGGGGGAAAGTTGTAGTTATGTTTTGAGATGAAGTTCACCCGAGACAAGGACAACGCGTGGATCGAAACGTAGATGGATAGCGAGAGAGAGAGACACACAAAGAGAGAGAGAGAGAGAGAAAGATTGGAGCAGCAGCCGTGAAGACGCCTAAACTAAAACTAAACTTAACTTATATTCGAAGAATAATTCAAACAATCAAATGAAGGCACCATAAATACATGACTTACAAACTGAGAGGTTAACATACAGATACATATATATATATATACATACATATATATATATATATATATATATATATATATATATAGATATTGAAATGTGCACAATAACCAAAAAGTGCCTAAAAAACAAATAAAAATAACGCCACAAAACATAATACAATAAATGAAAAAGGATGTTTAGTATCCAAAAGGAAGGAAAGGAAACGCCACGATAACAAAGCAAATGCAAAAAGCACAATAAACGTAAGACAAAGTACAAAAAATAACAGAATAGAATAGAATAGAATAGAATACAAAATGAATAAAAGAATAAAAAAACTGACGCAAGATGCGGCTGTGAATGTCGTCTTCGTTCTCGGCAATGATCTCCGTATATATCTCGTCCTCGTCCTCATCCTCGCCATGCGGATATTGAATGCCATTGTCCAGATTTGTGCGATTTGTCGGTTTGATTTCGCTCTCGGGATGCGGATCAACCGGATGGCTATCATCATCATCATCATCATTGTCATCATCATCATCATCGACATCATTGTCGTCGTTGTCGTCGTCGCCATCCTCATTATCGCCATCGCCGCTGCCTTGGAACGTATCTTCCGTATCGAAGGCATCGTCCTCATCCTCAGACTCGTGCTGTGGAATCGTGCGTGGTGTTGTGGCTGGATGAGAGGATTGTGGTGTTGAGGAGATTGTGCTGGTGTTGTTGGCATTCGGATTGGAGGCGGATTGAACGGGTGTGCCTGATGGGCTTGTTGATTCGCCTGTGGTGCTCGAGATGATGGTTGGGAGTGTGGCTGGGGTGGAGCTACTGGTGGCTGTTTGTGTTGTGGTTGTTGTTGTTGCTGCTGATGTTGATGTTGTTGTTGGTGTGTGAGCTGCTGGATATAAAGATGTTGTTGTTGTTGTGTGTAAGTTATAATTAATGCTATTTAGATGAAGATGCTTGTTGTTGTTGTTGTTGCTGTTGTTGTTCTCGTTGCTGTTGTTGCTATTGTTGCTATTGTTGCTATTGTTGTAATTGCTAATTATAATTGTTGTATTGATTGGGTCTAAAATGGGCGATATGGTAAATGTGTTTGAATTGGATGTAATGGTATTGGTATTGGTATTGATAGTGGCATTGGTATTGGTATTGGTATTGGTATTGGCAGTGGTTACTGTTGTTGTTGTTGTTGTTGTTTCTGTAGTGTTTGTGGAATTGTAATTGGAAGTGGAAGTTGAAGAAACGTTGGCATTGGCTATAGTAGTTGTAGTTAGTCTAGCTTGATCTTTACCGATTGTACTGATGTCACTACCACTGCTGATGATGCCGTTGTTGTTGTTGTTGTGGTTGTTCTGGTTGTTTTGGTTGTTGTTGGCGTTGGTGCTACTACCAATGATTGTGCCACTATTCGCTTGATGATTATTATTATTGTTATTATTGATGTTGAGATTGTTATTATTATTGTTGCTGTTGTTGATATCGATTTGATTATGATGGTTGACTCTACTCGAGATGAGATCGTTCTTGTTGTTCTTGTTGTTGTTGTTGTTGTTGTCGTTCGAGTTATGCTTACTATTTGTGTTGCCAATGCTCTGAATGCGCGTATTGTGCGAGCTCGAATGATGCTCGATTATGGCGTCCTCGTCATCGGGTCCAAAACCAGAGCCAGAATAGTCCGGATCCTTTTCTAGATCATCGTGTATCTACGGAGAGAGACAAAGAGTGCAATGAAATTTAAAATTCTGCGTAAAGTTGGCATTTAACAAAAAAACATTACTATGAAAAAGACATTTCTTAATCGCAATAAACTGGACCAAATCATACGACTTAAAACAGACCTTAAAATATATATTTTGGCTTGATCGACAAGAGACAGATGTTGATGCTTTGCAAAATCAATATGCATTTTGTATCTCTGAGGAAAAGAGTATAAAGACTTGAGTGCAGCCGCCAACTGTTTTTAAGGTAGGACAATAAAAGTTGCCTGCTTTTGTGCGCAACAAATGGCAACGATTTGCATTGAAAATTATGGCAGTGACAAGCAGCAGCAAAACACAATGGCCCAACTACAGCGAGAGGCGGTGTGGGAGTGGGAGTGGGGGAGGTGTGGCTGTTGGGGGGCGTGGCGCAATGGCCAACGTTGTGACTCGAGGGAGACATTTATATGGCTATTGTCTGACAGCCGTGCCTTAGTGGTTGTTTTGACTGTTGCGAGTGTGGTTATCATGCCTTCAGTGCGGCGCTTGTGCGGTTTATTTGGGTAACGTAACAAAAATACCAAAAACCAAAAACACAAATAGAGATACACAACACACACACACACACACAACACACACACATAAGCACAGCAGCAGCAAACTGTGACCAATGCCAATTGTCATGGGCACATCTGTAGCGAAGGCTGGTGCCCTCAACGCTTGTTTATTTACTTTAATTTTGTCGCCGTTTGCTTTTTGGCACATAAAAACAACAACAGCACAAGCAAAAGGACAAAAAGGACGAACGACGAGCAGCGAGACGAGAAGTCAGAGCAACGAGGCACAAGGCACAAGCAGCCATTGCCACAGGCAGCTTAATTGAATTTGTTCACGCGTTATGAAATGCCAAAATGTTTATGTTTATCTTTATAAGTATGTACAATTTTCGACTTGTTCGACCGACACTTGTTGCCACCAAAACGCCCCATCCACTCCAAGACTCCATGGCAGGTCCATGGCAAAAACAAAGCCAAGAATTAGAAGCAGCCTACACACTTTGACCATTAAGGAAGCCATTATATCAGGGCGTTAGTCGCAGCTGCTTAACCCAGAGATATACTGTAAAGAGGGAGCTCTTTCGCCGCCCAAACATTTAGCAAAGATGCCTTCCTATTCTACAATAAGATAGAGTGAGTCTAGGAGACGACCTTCAGCCCAAAACATTGTGATTATCGTGAACAATTTGCTCACAATTGTGCACAACTCCTCAAATACCTGTCTCTGCATTTCTTTTTGCTTGTTTTCGATATTTGAAAATAAATGTTCTCAGCGTTTCTACTTGATTTTGAAATAAATAAGACTACGTTTATGGTTATGCCTTAATGGCTAAAATAATTTTATAAAAAAGGTGCCCAAAAGCATTATAATTAATAAGGGTCATTTGGAGTATTTAGGTTATCAGCGTGAATATAAATCACTTAGGTGGCCGACTCTTTGGCGTTGATGCTAAGAAAAATATTTTCATTTTAAGGGATGCAAATTAATTTTATTTTTACAACTTTTACAACTAAATGTATAGTGTTAAATTCGTGTGATGGGGAGAGAACCAAGTAAGAATCTAGCTGTTGTAGTATTATTGCCAAATTTACCTTTAAACATTTTTTGCAGACTCAAAAGTAAGCATGCGTGGAAGTGTTCCGATTTCTTGTGGCTGGCACAGATCAATATGAAAATATATTTTCGATTTTAGCCATGTAGTTTGTTATGCGAACCTAATGAAATTTGTTAAGTTGATCAATAATATGTAAATGTATATTATACATCAACTAAAATCCTGTATTGCTATCGAAAATTGATTGGAATTGAAAACGAGGTCAGTTATCGATAAGGTGAAGAGAACTTGGTCTGATAGTCCTTATTTCAAGTCTTTGAGACTCGTCTGTTGATCCTGATCAAGAATATATACACCTTGTGGGATCGGAGATGATTCCTTCTGCGTGCTACACACTTTTGCACACAAAACCATTATATCCTTTTTATCAATTTTTAATGGGTTCAGGGTACAAGAACTTTGGGTAATAAATTCGACTGAAACACAAAAGTTGGCTGCGAATGTGGTCAACTTAATAAATCAGTAAAAAGAAAGACTTTCAAGGAGTGCGTGAGTGTTTTGTGAAGCTAAATTGGCACTGCGCATCTGTATCTCATTAATCAAACATTAGCACAAAGCTACAGCGAAGGCAGAGCAGCGTTTAATTAAATTTACTTTTATTTTTAGGCAGCCGACGAGCCTTTGAAGCTAAGCATGTACGAGTATGTATGTATTGGACACACACTCGAAATGAAGACTCTCACGATGAAGACACCCACACAAACACACGCACTTTTGGCTAAATTGAAAGTACACAAGCCGGCGGCTAAGCGAAAAAACGAAAACAAACAAAACACAAAACACAAAACACAATGCAAAATACAAAATACAAAATGATGATGAACATTTTGTATATCGTTTTTTATTTGTACGTATTTTCGCTGCTCTCATTTTGTTTTGCCCAATTTAATTAAAATATATATGGCGTTTTGCAAAATTTGTAGTATTGTGTATACGCAGTGCGGGCCGCATTTTTATGATGCTCATAAATTTATACACATGTACACACACACACACACACACGCACAGCACAGTTTTGCTGCACTCGCGTACACAAATTATTTGGTCAAAAGTGGCTCATAAAGTATAGCAAAATGTTAGCCACATTTGGTGTTTTGTCTCGTTTCAAATAAAATGCTTAAAAAGGGTCTAAGGAAATGGTGAATTACTAGGCAAGGCACCGAAAACTACACCTCCAATCCCGCGTTAGACGAGTCCAATTTGGAATGTAAATATATCAAGTGCACATTAAGTTAATTCATTTGTATCGATAACTACTACAGTTTCCGAGAGATATACGTGAAAATCGATTATCGATAACAATAAAATCACACAAGTCTTTTTGCATGTTGATCTGAATATCCAAACTGATTCTTAAATGTTTACAGTACATAAAATATGTTGTCTACAACTTGTCCATCTGCTCAAAATGTTGATGCGAATTTTAGACATTCTTGTATCGAATTTAGTATCGATAACTTAAAAAGTTTGGCACAGCAGGTATTCATTTTAAAATACAATAATAATTTAGTTAATAATTGAATACATTTTTATTCTGAAGGCAAATTTTAAAATGAAATCCTTTTTAATTTTAAGATTTGTTTCTCATTTATTGGATTGGTTATAGCCTGCCCATTCTATTATCAATCTAGATATAGGACATACGACTTGAATAACTCCGGGTAACTCCTAGTCGAGCACTCTTGACTGGAGCAATGTGACTTGCTTGCTTTGTGTGTTTTTGTATTTCGCCAACTGTCTGCCCCATTTACTTGGCGCTGGCTGCTTGCTGGTGGCACAGTTAATATAAAGCGTTATTCAAAGACCATTTTTAGCTCCCTTGCCACAGCCCGGCACAACTCGTTGTCGCTTTTGCCACTTGATTTATGCAGCAATTAGCAGAGGAGCGTTGCTTGTGGATGTGTCACGACCTTAGTTTAGCTTTTGGGTGGCTGTTGCAACTATAATTACCTTGTTGCCAGCCAGCCTGTGTTTTGGGCCACATCTGTAGCCTACTTTGCAGCGGCCTTGCCTCTCCTCTAAAATGAGCTCGATAAGCATGCGAGTTTTGCCCAAGTTCCTTCACTTTCATAGTTGTACCTTAAGCTAACTCAAGCGACTGGCTTAGGTCATGGCCCTGGGCTCTGGGCTAATTGCTGGCTTCTGGCCCAATTGTGAGTTTCATGCAATCGATAAAATTGTTGCAAGTGCGGCTGCAACTCGGAATTTTATGCAATAAATTGTTTTGTTAATAAAACATGAGCTGTGTGCTGCGGTGATACGATGTGGCGATGTGGCGATGGGGCAGCTGATGCTGCAATGTGGGTCATGCATGAATTTAAATGATGTCATTGAAACGTTTCATGTTACCAGCTGCTGCCACCTGCAACAGAAGAAGAAGAAGAAGCAGCAGCAGCAGCAGCAGCAGCTGCAGCAGCAGCAGCAGCAGCATCAGCAAAAAGCCATCAGCTGCTGCTGCTCTTAGTCCGCTTAATCGCGCCTGACTTTAATATTTGTCGCATTAAATTTGCATTTGTTGCAGCAGCGACTTCAACTGCAACGGAAACTGTCACAACTGCTGGTTGGGCATATGTGGCATATGCTTGACTTCATTCTACATATACTTCTACATATATATGAATTATGGAATATACTAACCAACCAACCATCCGGCACATATGAAATATGTAAACGCTCATTGCGAAGCATTTCACATAAAAAGTTCACATCAAGCTGAAGAAGTATTTAAGAGGTTTTTTGCCCCTTCGGCTTCATGACTTGGCCAAAAGTTTCATTTCAACTTGCAGGAACTTAAAGTTTTTCAACCCAAGTGCGAAAGTTTGCAAGAAAACAAATATTAATGCAAAAATACAATGTACAAAAAATATAATGAAATTCTTTGCTCAAATGAAAACAACGAAAAAAACAGAAAAACAACAAATAAAAAGTGTGCAAAGAAACCGGCAACAACCTTCAAGCATAATGAGCGCTAAAAAATTGTGTCAGCTCAGTTGAGATGAGGTTCAACTTTGGTGCACTGCGAATGGGGGTGGCTGGGTGGGTGGTGCGATGCTGCGATAGTGGGTTGTGGTGCAAGCCTTATGCATAAACAACAAGTCGCTGTGCAGCCAACAGAGAGAAAATCGAATAAAAAAGTGGTATCATAAAGTTGGGCCAAGGTTTGCTGCCACAGGCAGAAAAATACATTTACGACCCTATAAAAACTGATATATACTAGGCTGAACCCAGAAACTGTAAACTGAAAGAACCATTAGGTTTTCGACAGTCATCATAAAGGCAAGAGCAATAAAATGAAGTAAATATTTAACAAAAAAAAAGATGCAGAGAAATTCAT